TTATATAATTTTTAGATATACTCTTTTTGCTTTTTGAGGTAGATACTCATGTAGCCCAGGCAGGTCCCAAACTCACTGCACAGTAAAGGATTGATTACCTTAAGCACCGGGCCCTCCTGCCTCCAATATCAGGAGATTATGGGACTCCTAGCGCTACCATTCCTATCTCTTTTTATATCTTTTCTCTCCATTGTTGTATCCATGTGTCTGTCAGTGTGTGTGTCTGTGTGCCTCTGTGTATATATGTTTTCATGTGTGGGCACACGTGTGAGAATTCACATGTGTGTGCATGTGGAAGCCTCAGGTTGGCATCAGGAAATCAGTCTGGATTTTCCATTTTATTCTTTGCAGCAAGGTCTCTCAATCAAACACCGAGTTTACCATACAGCTAGCCTTATGAGCCAGTTTGCTCTGGGGATCACCTGCCCTTCTCCCAGGGCTGGAATTATAGCTGTGTCACCTGCCTCATGGTTGCCTGACAAGTGTCTTAATTGTTGTGCCATCTCCCCAGCCCTGTTCACATTTCCTGATGCTTCACAACGGGAATTAAACTTCAATATAGTTTTTTTTTTTTTCCTTGGTGGTGGTGTGTTTTGAGACAGGGTTTCTCTGTGTGGCTCTGGCTGTTCTAGAACTCGTTCTGTTCTGTAGATGAGGATGGCCTCAAACTCAGAGAGATCTGCCTGGCTCTACCTCTGAGTGCTGGGATTAAAAGTGTGCACCACTGCTGTCCAGCTTCAAGGTAGTTTTTGATGGGGACATTTAAAATGATGGCACCTCCTTTAGTCCTTTAGGTTTAGGGTGGGGACAGCTCTCCAAGCTTGCTAACCCAGTGAGATTCCATCCTACCATGCTAACATGCTAACATTGAGAAAGCTCTGTGCAGTCAACTCCCTACTCCTTTTGTGTGAGTTCTGGGGACTGACCTCAGGTTGTCTGGCATTATGCAGCAAGCATTTTTATCTGCTGAGACATCTTGATGTTGCCTTCTCTTTGGAGACAGAAGCTGTCACCGAACCTGGGCTCTCCAGTTCAGCTAGGCTAGCTGGACAGAGAACATCTGTCTATCCCCCACCCACCCTTCTAGCTCTGGGATTACTGGTCAGCACCACCATGCTTTCGTGTGGCAAATGCTGTACTGACTGAGCCATTGCCTTAGCCTCCTTCCTTCCTTCCTCCCTTCCTTCCTCCCTTCCTCCCTTCCCCCTCCCTCACTCCCTCCCTCCCTTCATTTCTTCCTTTCTCTCTCTCTTTTCTTTTTTTCAAGACAGGGTTTCTCTGTGTAGTTCTGGCTGTCCTGGAACTTGCTCTGTAGACCAGCTTGACCTCAGCTCACAGAGATCCATTGGCTTCTGTCTCCTGAATTCAGGGAGTAAGGTGGACGGCACCAAGCTTGGCCATCTTGCTTTGTTCTTAGTCATCTCACTGCCCATCTTGTCCACTCTTGCTGCTCTCTCCTCACAAGCAATCCTCCATTATGCTTCTATGTCACAGGAATCCCATTGCCCCATCTTTACAATTTGTGTGTGTGTGTGTGTGTGTGTGTGTGTGTGTGTGTGTGTGTGTGTGTGTGTAGGCCAAGGGCTGAGGTCCAGTGTCTTTCTCCATCTTTCTCCATCATTGTCCACCTTATTTGGTGGTGGTGGGGAATCCTAGCTTCTTTATGGGCAGCAGGGGCCACAGGACTGAGCCAAGTGGCCAGGTCACCAGTACAGGTAACCAACCTGGATGCTGGCAGAGATCTCAGTCTCACATCCCACCATATTTTTTTTTTGAGACAGGGTCTCTTCACTGAGCCTGGATATCGATTTTGTCAGACTGGCTGGCTATCAAGTTCAGGGGATCCAATGGGCACTGTCTTCCCAGAACTGAGGCTATGAATACATGTTCCACAGCTGGCTTATCATGTGCACTGTGGTCCCTCCACCTCTCCTACACTGCTATCCCAACAGGCACTCAAATACCTAAAGGTAAATAAGGCTCTGTCCACAGTTTCTGAGAATCCAGGCCAAACACGTACATTCTGGGCAAACATTTACACACCACACCAAGTGGAAAGGGCAGAGAACAGCCCAGCTTTGGATCTGGGCACAAAGATTCTGGAAGGAGCTGATCAGCCAGGCCTGAGATGCTGTTCTGAGAAAGAGATGAGCAGGCACTAAGACCCTGGGTGCTAGACTGCTAGATGCTCAGTAGCTCTAGAATCCAATAGTATGAGGAGGAAAGAGGGAGGCTGAGGGCCTAAAAGTAAACAAGAAACCAGGAAGGCTGTAAAAGCCAAGAGTGCCAGAAAGTCACTGAAAGCTTTTAAGCAACATGGTAATAACGGTGCCCTTTAGAAATGTTATTCAGGCTGCTGGGGAGTGGGTTAATAGAAGTCAGCTGTTAGGCTGCAATTAGGGAAAATGCCCGACAGGAGTGGAGATGAAGGCGATGATGGATTTGAGAGCCACCCAGGCAGCAGAAAGGATGGGGCATTCATAGGATTCTTGATCACAGATACACTGATGTAACAGCGTAACAGTCATTTAGCCAATAGCCTTGGTTTTAGGAGGCCCTGATGGGACTCTTCTCCTTGACCCTGTTACTTGGAAACATTTCAAAGAAGAGTTGCCAGTTTCCATAGACATCCACATACCTTTCTCCCAATTTACATATTGTTATATCTGCTTCTTCACACCACCCTGTGGCTTTTCAACCTCAGCACCACTTGCAGGGTAGTAAGGAAATTCTCTTATGTAATTACAACATCATACTTTCCACCACCACACCTGGCTCCAAATAGCATTTTTTTTTTTTTTTGAGGCAAGCTTTCTCTCGCTCTCTCCCTCTTTCTCTTCCTTTCTCTTCTCTTCTTTCTTTCTTTCTTCCTTCCTTCCTTTCTTTCTTTCTTTCTTTTTTTTTTTTTTTTTTTTTTTTGAGATAGGGTTTCTCTGTGTAGCAGTCCAAGCTGTCCTGGAACTCCATCTGCCTCCAAGTTCTGGGACTAAAGATGTGTGCCACCACCCCCAGGCTGAAATGGTTTTCTTAGCTGTCAAATAAGGGCAACAATACACTTGGTTTCATTGGGTTGTCCAACTATCACATGTAAGGCATGTAGAACACTATTTGAGATCTCTTTGTTTTTCTCTCTTTCTCATCAGGGCCCTACCACGAAGTTAAACTCCCATCCCTTATAACTATTTAAAAATTTTTATTATATGTGTGTAGGCTGGTTTTTATGTTAACTTGACACAAGCTAGAGTTATCTGAAAGGAGGTTGGAACTTCAATTGAGAAAATGTCTCCTTAAGATCTAGCTGTAGGAGGGCTGAGAGATGGCTCAGTGGTTAAGAGCACTCAATAATAATATTATTATTATAAATATAAGAAATAATAATAAATAAATCTTTAAAAAATCCAAACTGAAGCCAGGCATTGGTGGCACATGTCTTTAAATCCCAGCACTCAGTAGGCAGAGGCAGGCAGATCTCTGTGAGTTCAGGGCCAGCCTGGTCTACAGAGTCAGTTCCAGGACAGGCTCCAAAGCCACAGAGAAACCCTGTCTTGAAAAACCAAAAAAAAAAAAAAAAAATCTGAAAGTGGTTGGTAGAGTGCTCTCTAGCATCCATGAAACCCTGGGTTTACATAACCCCTGCCTGGTGGTATCTGTCTGCAGTCCCTGCCCATGGAGGGAGAAGGGGGAAGATCAGATGTATAAGGCCATTGTTGCAGAATATCTAACTATGTAAAGATGTGTTGCTGTTTTACTTGCCTGCCTAAGGCACCTGATTGGTCTAATAAAAAGCTGAATTGCCAATAGCAAGGGAGGAGGTATAGGCAGGACTTTCGGGCAGGGAGATTAAGTAAGTGGACAAATTTAGGCTCAGGAGAATAAAGAAAAAGAGATGACAGGGAGATGCCAGGGGGCCGGCCAGACAGACGTAGAGGAAACAGGAAAGTAGGACATACAGAATGAAAGAAAGGTAAAAAGTTCAAGGCAAAAGGTCGATGAATAGAAGCAGGTTCTGTTAAAAGAGCTAGTGGGACACGCCTAAGCAAAACCCAAGCATTCATAACCCTAGCATTCATAATTAAGGATAACTCTCCATGTCTTTATGTGGGGGCTGGTTGGGAACCCAAAGAAAATCCCAACTCCAGGCCATTGAACTCAGCAGGTTATTAAAAAAAGAAAATATGAGGACTTGAAGGTGTGAAGAGGAAGTGTTGTGGGAGGTGGACCCAGGCAGAATGGGAGGGGGTGTTGATGGTGGGTGCGACAAGAGTCAGTGTTGTATACATGTATGAAATTGCAGAATATTCTAAAAAACTCATCTACATAATGAGTTTGAGGTTAGCCTGAGATACAGATGATCGTGTCTGAAAAGCCCAAAATGCTTAAAACCATTTTTTAAATGCTCAAGGGCTTTGTAGATAGGAAGAGCTGAATTGGACGGCAGGACAAAATCCTCTCACATGCATACAGCTGACGCACAGTATGGGTTGAGTGAACGAAAAATGGAAGTGTGAACTACACATGGTGGCTCCTAGCACTCACAAGGCAGAAGTAGGGGGAATCTCTGAGTTTGAGGCCAATCTGGTCTACATAGTGAGTTCCAGGACAGCCAGGGGTACACAGAGAAGCCATGTCTCAAAAAAAAAAAAAAAAAAAAGGGAGGGAGGGAGGAAAGGGAGAAGGAAGGAGGAAAAGAAAAAGGTAGAAAGGAAGAAAAGCAAGAAAGAAAAAAAGGAGAGAAAGGAAGGAAAAGGAAAGGATGGAAAACGAAAGAAAAAAAGGAAGGAAGAGAAAGAAGAAAATGAGTCGGCTGCGAAGTTATAGTAAGAGAAGCCTAGGTTATCCCTGCCTCAGTTTGTCTGCCGGGTCATTGGGAAACCACGTGGTCTCTCTAGTCGGGGCTTCCGGTGACCTAGTCCCACTTTCAAGCTCCACCCTGTACGTTTCCCCGTGCTCCAGCGTCGGCTGAGTGTTCTGGCCCTCGGAGGGACCCGTACGGGCGTCTCTGCTGGCGTCCGTAGCCGGGAAACCCGGCGTCCAGCGCGGCAGGTTGTGGTCCGCGATGTCAGGTGAGGAAGCCCGCCACAGGGCAGAGTCCTCCGAGGCCCGTGCGGCCGCGGTCAGCGACATCCAGGAGCTGATGCGACGCAAGGAGGAGATCGAGGCGCAGATTAAAGCTAATTACGACGTCCTGGAGAGCGTGAGTGTGGCCAGGGCTCCGGGCGGGGAGGACCGGGAGGCCTGCGGATGCGCGGCCCGGAGTTCCTGCCAAGCTCTAAGCTCCCCTCAATAACAGCTTGACGTGGGATTTATTTTCATTTTCTGAAGCATTAACTTCGTGGTTTTTAGTTTTTTGTTTTTTTGTTTTTTTGTTTTTTTTTGTTTTTTTTTTTTTTAACGCAGCCCTAGCTGGCCTCGAACTCTTCATCATCTTGCTTCAGCATTCCACGTGCGGGAATTACGGGCCCGTGCCATCATGACAGGCCTGAAGCATTAGCTAAACTGCCTTGGTCACAAAGATAGAATATTTGCTGAGGCATAGTGATAATCACCACTGTCACCGTCCTGTCCATAGGTAACGTTACAAGATTGGGCGTGCCTTGCCACCCGCTTTCAATTGGGACTTAATGAACGTCATCAGTGAGAATTAACTGGGCCTCTTGGTAAAATGCAGGTTGCAGCCAGGAGAGGCATCCTCACATGTAAACGCTGCTCTTGGAAGGTTGAGCCAGGAGGACTTGAAGTTCAGATAATTCTTAGTTCTGGGCCAGCCTGGGCCATATTGAACTCTATCCCAAAATATATAAATAAATAAAATGCATATTCTAACTGGGGTGGGGTGCAGATTGCATTTCAAGAAAACTCTCAGCTAAGGACTGCTTTAAGTGACGGTAAAGCACTTACCTAGTGGGCCATGGTGGCACACATCTTTAATCCCGGCACTGGGAAGGCAGAGGCAGGCAGATCACTGAGTTGGAGGACAGCCACATGGTAACATAAAAGCACCTGTAACTCCACTTCCACATCTGACCGTTGTGGGAACTGCATGCGCATGGTTCCCATACATACATGGAGGAGAAACACTCACACACAAAATAAATCCTAAAAGCAAAACATGAAGGACAGTCATAGCTGTTAGGGAAGCGTAGTTAAAATCACAGGGAGATACTACTCACGTTCACTTGGATGGGTGCAATGAAAATGTAGGTAGCATCTTAGGGAGAATACGGAAAAACTGGAAGCCAGACAGCTGTAAGATGGTGTAGCTGCTTTTTAAAACTGTTTAGCAGTTTCTCAAAAATTTAACAGTCACATAACCCAGAAAATCCATTCCTCACATGTGATAATTATATATTGAAAATATATATTCATCCCAAAATTTGTATACATTGTTTAAAATATCTAAGATGTGGAAAATGGCACACATGTCCTTCAAGTAACAGATAAATAAAATAGTCTACCCATACAATGGGATATTTGGAACAATAAAGGGAATAGTGAATTTTATTGTATAATAAAAGGAATAATGAAATAATCATACTAATTTATGTATTTTATGTGTTCCCTCTCTTTCTTTCACCTTGCTATGTACTTCTAGCTAGCTCCCTCTACTTACTCTGTAGCCCAGACTAGCCTTGAGCTCTTGGCAATCCTCCTGCTTCAGCTTCCTGTATGCTGGTGGGCTCTCTTTGATGCACATCTGGGTAAAACTCCAACTCTCTCTAGTTCAAGCTGGCCTCAAACTTGTAATTTTACTGTCTTGGCCTATCATATGTTGGGATTATTAAGTGTGTGTTAGTGCCTGGTGTTTCGTGGTTTCCTGTATATGAAATGTCCTGTTTTATTTTGAGTCTCTGAAGTCTTCTCTGAATACCCGAATGTTTAAAGTTTGGTGCCTAGGGTAATGCTCTTGAGACATGGTGGGACCTTTAGGAGGTAGAGCTCTGTCAGTCAGTGGAGTTGTGCCCTGGCTGGGGTCGTTACTATAGGTCAGTGGAAGTGTGTCCTGGCTGGGTAGTTACTGTTGGTCACTGGAGACATGCCCTGGCTGGGGAAGTTACTAAAGGTCATTGGATGTGCGCCCTGGCTGGGTCGTTACTGTTACAGGGTCGTTGGAGTGCAGAGCTAGTGGAGCCTCAGGCCTTTGTTTCTTTCTGTTTTTTTCCCCCTTGTTCCCAGGGTCATGACAGAAGTGGCCTCCTCCACCGTCTGCTTCCAAGAGGATGTTCTACCTCTCCACAAAGCTAAAACTAAGAGTCTCCCAAAATACATACATACATACACACAGTGTGTCTGTCCAGTTCTGTGCTGGAACTTCAAAACCAAATAAACCTTTTCTCTCTGTGATTATAATGCTCAGACATTGTCTAGAGTTTCAGAACAGCTCCAGGATAGGATGCTCTGTATAAAGTCTTTCAATGGTTGCCAAAGGTTTGGGGAAGGGAAGGATGCAAGTGTCTTCTTACCGTTCAGGGTAGGCTGGTCAAACCTTCTCTGGTAACCCTCTGTGTCTTTAAGAAAAAAACCTTTTGTTTTTTGAGACAAGATACACAGTCAGGATGATTTTGATTTTTATGTCCTTTTGCCTTGGCCTCCTGAAAGCTTGGATTGTAGGAGTGGGCTGTCCAAGGTTTGTTTTTTGTAGGGGGTGTTGATGCAAACATACTACAACTGTGGTGGTGGGTGATTAACTCTTGAACACATTACAAACCACTGAATTGTATACTTTCAGTGGCTCAGTTATCTGTATGTGAATTTTGTTGACTCAGAACTGTTTTAAATGGAAGATTTCAGAGTTAGCTTGGAATCTGGGTTTGTAGCAGCTACCCCCAAACGGACTATTCTTGACCAATGGAGGACTGAAGAGACCTGGCCTAATCCTCCTGTCTCACCTTAACCATAGGATCCTGGCCTGGACCCCATCCTTCCTCACAAAGTCACAGAAGTTCTGGGGAGTAGGACGTGGCCATATTTGGGAGCCTCTACTCAGTCCACCATACTGAATGTGCCTGGCTCCTTATTAAGCATTCAAATTCAAGTTTGTGTATTAGTCTTCTAGCAAGTGCCTGTTGTATTTCCATGGTGCAGCCGAGGAAAGTGAGGTTTGGAATGTGTCTTAGACAGAGATGCCCAGCTTGTATGTGGCAGAATTGGGATTGAGATAAAAGTCTAGGCAACTGGGCAGTTCCTGCCCCCTCAGTGGAACACATTCTGTTGCTTTTGTCCTTTGTCCCCTGATTTATGTAGGGAAACTTCAGAAAAAAACTTCAGGAGTGGTGGCTCAGACCTGAAATCCCAGTACTTGGGAGGCTGAAGCAGGAGGATTGCCATGAGTATGAGGTCAACATGAGCTACAATGTGAGAACCTGCTTCAAATAAACGCTTGCTAAAACAGGCCCTAAAACAGAGGTACCTCTGGTTCCAGTGACTCAGGAGACTGAGGCTAGAGAATTGGTTAATCCCAGGGAATTGAGAACAGCCTGGGTAAACACAGTGAGGCTGAATATAAAGTGTTAAAGTGAATGTATTGTTTTGAATAGGGAATATATTCCCAATGTTCAGATTCAGACCCCCGCTAATGGATATCACCTGCAGAAGCTCTGCCTTCCCTAATTCCCAGCCGCTTAGTTTCTTTCCCTGGAGGCAGCCAGTGCCATCAGTGATGAAAGGAATCTTGGTGGGCCTCTTACATCTTTTTATTTGTTTGAAGAGTCAAAACCTGGCCTCAGCTGGATTTCTTTGGAGTTTATACCCTCCAGCTTCAAGGCTTCAGCCAGGTGTCAGCTGTTAGAAGGAGGAGTTGGAGGGTTCAGGTCAGGGATGGGGCTGAGGGAACCTCTGAAGGCTTTTTGAGTGTTTTGTTGTTGCTTTAATTGGAGAGATCTCATGTGTCCCAGGCTGATACTGAACTTACTGTGTAGCTAAGGATGACCTTGAACTTCTGATCCTCCTGCCTCCACATCATTCCCCACCACACCTGGCTTATGCAGTGCTGGGGATGGAGTCCATGGTTTCATGCATGCTAGGCGAGCACTAGAGCAACTGATGTACATCCCAGATTCCTAGCCCTGTTTATTAATTTTTTTATGCTGCAGAGAACCAAACCCAAGGTCTTTCATATACTAATCAAGTGATCTGCCACTGAGCTACATACAGTCCAACCCTGGGGTCTTTGGCTTTGCACTGTGCTCATGCATTACTTACATTAAAAATTTTTTAAAGATTTCATTTTATTAATGTGTGTACAGTGTGGGGGGGGGCGGATATTGGTGCACAGAGTGTGTATGGAGGTCAGAGGGCACCTTTGTGAAATTTGTGTTCCTCCTCTACCTTTATGTGGGTCCCAGGAATTGAACTCAGGTTGTTAATCTTTTTGTTTGTTTTGTTTTTTGAGATATTGTTTCTTTCTTTGAGTAGCCCTGACTGGTCTGGAACTTGCACTGTAGACCAGGCTAGGCTTGAACTCATAGAGATCCACCTACCTGCCTCTGCCTCCTGAGAGCTGGGAATAAAGGTCTGCACCACCACTACCATCACCACCACCACCCGGCTCAGGTTGTTAATCTTGACGGCAGGCATCTTTATCCAGTAATTCATCTTTTTGGCCTCGTTGCTTTCATTATTAAGAATTACTTTAAGAAATAGTACCCACTGCAATTGTAAGGACACAGTCAAAGAGCCTGCTGTGTACTAAAGAGATCACTGTATGGCGTTACTATCACTTTTGTCATGAGTTAGAAGGGCAAGGGTCTAGAGAATTGCATCATGATACTCTTATCTGTGAGATCTTTTTAACCACATGTCTTTCCTCCAGCAAAAAGGAATTGGGATGAGTGAGCCACTGGTGGACTGTGAGGGCTATCCCCGGGCAGATGTGGACTTGTACCAGGTCCGAACGGCAAGGCACAACATCATCTGTAAGTGACCCTCCCTGGGACTCTGTCTTAGCCTGTGGTGGGGGTTACAAAGCTTTTCTGCTCTGACAGAATATCTTGTCATCCTTGTGGGACTGCGAACCAAGGGAATAGGGCAGACTGAAGAGGTCCATGTTGATGGTTTTATTTTTCCCTTTTAAGCTCGGTGTGGTGGTGCACGTCTTTAATCTCAGCACTCGGGAGGCAGAGGCTGGTAGATCTCTCTGAGGTTAAGACCAGCTTGGTCAACAGAGCGAGTTCCAAGACAGCCACCTGTACAGAGAGACCCTGTCTGTTTAAAAACAAACAAATCCAAACTCAAAAATACAAAGACAAACTAAAAACTTAGTTTCAAGCTGGGCATGGTGGTGCAAACCAATAGTGATCAGGGGTTTGAGGTCAGTCTGGGCTGTGTAAGAAGGAAAAAGCAGGGGACGAAAACGTGACTTCGTTATGGGAGCTTTATTGAATTAGCAGTAAAAGCCTGTACCAGGATTGCTTGCCAGCCCCATCAAATCCATGAAGTAGATTCAGCGCCTAGAGTAGTCACCTGACTGTCACCATTCAAACAGAAAGGACCTCAGTAGGGACCCTTGAAGTATGCAGTACAAGGGTCAGCAAAAGCCAGGCTCTGCCTCAGTCTTCAGGGCCCACAGGTTGTGTTCCAGTCAGTAGGCAGGTGACAGGAGGAAATGTCTTGGCCCTGTACCCTCAACTCACTGTGTCAGTTACCATTTCCTCTCACAGCCTCTACTACCTGCCAGGAAAGCTGGGCAAACCTATCCCTCTGCAGGCCCATTGCTATCCTAAGAGAATCTTCTATGTGTTCCTTTGTTTTCATGAAGTAACTAGCAGGGCATGTCTGGCACCTGGAGAGGATATTAGGTTTGTGTCTCTGCCATGACAAGCTACAGACATGTCTTATCTCTGACTGTTCTGGAGGTGAGAAGTCCAGATGGTCTCAGTGACAAAATCAAGGTGTCAGTAGGGCTGGCTCCCGCTAGGCTGGGGGAGGTGTATTCTTTGTCTTTTCTGAAGCCACCTGTGTCCCTTGGCTCTTGGCCATTCTCAGTCTTAGAAGTAGCGATTACATCTTTCTAGCCTTTGGTTTTGTTATTGCATCGTTTTCTCTGGCCCTCCTGCCTCCCTCTTCAACTTGTTAAGAGCCTGTGGTGATATGAGGCCCTCCCAGGAAATCCAGGCTCATCCTTCCTCTCAAGATCCTTAATTATACCTGACCTACACAGTCAATTTTGTTTCATGAGGTCATGTGTGCATCAGCTTCAGGGTTGAGGATGTGAGCATGTTTTACTTGACATGGATAGATAACCAGCCCTCCATCCCAGTTACACTAGCCGATTAATCATCCATGGTTTACACTTAATGATTTCCGATGAATGTACCCCAACTCTGGCTTCATCTGCAGAGTGTTTTGGTAATGAAGCCTGCTTCTCAAAAATAGGATGCAGAGTAAGAGGCAAGGTTAAAGCCAGTGTGATGACAGAGCCCTGCAGAACATCCTTCTTACCCTGGGTCCTCTGGTGTTTAAAACGTCTCAGTTTTGCATTAAAGCAGCCAGGGAGACCCAGAGAACAGGAAAATCATGCAGAGACAGCCAGATGTGGGGGAGTTGTGGGTTTTACTCTAAGCCTCTAAACCCCCAGGGCTGTGGCCACTCACTTCTGCGTTATTAGCAGGACCTTGGGGAAGTTTGAGGAATGCTGATTTTTATTCAAATGATTACCTTCATGTTTCAGCATCATTTTCTTCCCATTAATTTGAAATGTAGTGTGCGTGCGTGTGGGTGCACTTGTGTGCTCGCGCTATCTCTCTCTCTCTCTCTCTCTCTCTCTCTCTCTCTCTTTCTCTCTCTCTCTCTCGGCGTGCTTGTGCCTCTGTGTTGCTGGGGATGGAACTTAGTGCTGAGTTCATACTCAGTACTCAGTTACTACTGAACTACACCCCAATTCCAGCATAGATTTTCAGTTATGCTTAGCCTATTGCTGGCCATTTTACACTGTTCTACTCTGTATGTTAGTTTTATATCATCTTAATGACTTTATTATGTGTGAAGAATATGGTTGAAGCCAGGCATTAGTGGCGACTGCCTTTAATCCCAGCAGTCGGGAGGCAGGATCTCTGTGAATTTGAGCCCAGCCTGGTCTACAGAGCGAGTTCCAGAACAGGCTCCAAAACAATACAGAGAAACCTTGTCTAGAAAAAAAACAAAAAGAATATGGTTGAAGAACTCCCCCTTGTTAATATTCTTCTGAAAAACTGTTTCTACAAGTTTATTGTGTTCTTAATCAGGGACTTTTCTTAAGGAATAGTCCCAGGCTTACATAGAAATTGGAAAAATAATGCAGAGAGGTCTCATATGCTTTGTCCCCAGTCTCCTCTAGTCACCAGCAAGTGTTAGCATGGTACATTTATGACTTAAGCTTGGTTTTGAAATAATTGCTGCAGAAGTGTTTACCCAGGCGATGAAAGCCTTTTGAATTCTGATGTGGAATTGTAATGTATTAGCTACCAAGTCATTTCTCTTCTCACCACAGCTGTGTGGTGAATGTGAATTGTGCAGGCATTTCTGGAGGTTCTGGGGCTCCTCGGGGGTTTACCACTGGGAGGCTTTTCTAGTCATAGTAACCGTATATGACTTTGTGTTTTAAGCCTTCCTGATCTCGTGTCTAGTTTTTGTTTTTTGTTTTTTTCTCACTTGTGCTACTGTGGGCCCAGTACCTGAGTCCTGTAATGCCTGAGGGCCTTGTCTTTGCTGCACAGTCACAGGATTGTCAAACCAGGGTAGATGGCCAAACAGCCCACAGTCAAAAGCTCCTGCAGAATTGGAGAGTCTGTGACCCATGGGTGCCAGTGTGGGCTAGAGTACCAGGCTATCTTTGAGACTACAGACTAATTATATGAGTGGCCTGGATTGAAGTAAGGAGTGGAATCCAGAGAGGTAGAGGAAATCATTTTTAGGTTTAAAAAGTACATTAAATGCCAGCTGCATTCAGGACTGGCCTCCAGACAGGACATGTTGGACTGGCATGATGGTTCGTCATTTAATTTTAATTTTTATGTATGTGCATAGGTGTTTTGCCTGCATACAGTATGTGTTTGAGGTTCCTGCAAAGGCAGGAAGAGGGCCTTAGCTTCCCTGGAACTAGAGTTGCAGAAGGTTGTGAACATTTGTGTGGGTGCTGGGATTGGACCTGGGTCCTTTGGAAGCGCAGTCAGTGCTCTGAATTGCTGATTTACCTCTCCAGTCCCTGGTTCAACATTATGAATTAGCTTTTAGTACAAAAAATTAGAGGCTATTCCCCCTCAAAGCCCTCATTTTTAGCTTTTTCTAGAAAAATCGAAGGTTTGGCAGCACTGGATTTGCCTGTCAAGCCCTATCAATTGGCAGGGGTCCAGCAGCAGTTGCCTGCCTGACACTGAGTATCAGGACACATGCATTACTAGGGTCTTACGTCTGTACAAGAATTTTAAGAGAATGGGCTGGAGAGATGGCTCAGTGGTCACGAGCACTGGCTGCTCTTCCAGAGGTTCTGAGTTCAATTCCCAGCAACCACATGGTGGCTCACAACCATCTATAACTGAAGTTCCATGGGATCCAATGCCTTCTGGTGTGCAAATGTACATACAGGTACATAAATACATCTTTACAAAAAAAGAATTTAAGAGAAAACAGAAGTTGTTTTGTTTGTTTGGCACAGGCTTGGATGTACCCCAGGCTAGCCCTCAATATTTAGCTGAGCATGGCCTTGAACTTTTGGTCCTTCTGCTTCCACCTCCTGAGTTCCTGAGGCTGGGGCTCGAACCCCAGGGTCTCGGGTGCTCACAAACACTCTGTTAACAGAGTACCACCTCCACCCTCGGTGAAATCCTTCCAGCAGCCACTCTGCTTCACTCTTTTCCTGGGGACAGGGTGTCACACGCCCTGCACTGGCCTTCTGACCCTCCTGCCTCTGTCTCCAGGCATTGGGATTGCACGTGCTGCATCCTGCCCAGCCACCTCACTTCTGCATGACTTCAGCCATTGTCCCTGTTCATGCATGAGGTGGCAGCATGGTTGCTGCTGGAAGTCCCTGATTTCTGCTTACACGTCAGGGCTCAGCAGGGCCTGTGCTGCTTTTGAGGGCTGTCTTGATGCCCTCACTTAGGCGGTCATCACCTGTCTATAGCTGCCTTCCTCACTAGGTACTTGCTAGTGAGGCTGGGTCGACCCTGTATCTGGTTTATGGGTTTGTCTTCCCCTTGGACTCTGACTTTGTGTCTAGTGTCAAATGAGCACTCTAAACATTCTGTGTGTTGTTACTTTTTTGGTTGCTGTGACAAAAATACCTGGTAAAAGAAAGTTAAGAAAGAAGAGTTTGTTCTGGCTCAAGTCTGAGGGCACAGGAGCCTTGGGCACCCAGGTACAGTGTGCCTCCTCAGGAGGCAGGGCACTGAATGCTGGCCTCATGGGATGGACTGTCTTCCTTCCTCAGTTAAACCTCCTCTGGAAATGCCCTGAAAGATGCTTCCAGAGCCTTTTCTTGAGTGATTCTTGGTCTCAACGAAGTTGACAAGATGCAGCATTGCAGTGAGCAGATTCAGGAGTCTTGTTTCATCTGTCCTGTGTCCTGGGCTGTTGTCCCTCACCTCTGACATGCTGCTCTCTTCCCAGGTCTACAGAATGATCACAAGGCAGTGATGAAGCAGGTGGAAGAGGCCTTGCACCAGCTGCATGCTCGGGACAAGGAGAAGCAGGCCCGGGACATGGCTGAAGCCCAAGAAGAGGCCATGAGCCGCAGGCTGGGCTCCAACAGCCCCATCCTACCCCAGGCTTTCGCCAAAGTGAACAGTATCAGCCCTGGTTCCCCGGCCAGTATTGCGGTAATCCTGCCTGCTTCCCTGCATCCACTCCCAGGGGTGCTGTGAGTTAGGTCACCCTGGGCTGCAGAGGCTTGTTGGAGGCCAAACCTGTTCTCTCATTCTGTGGCTCGGAATTCCTCTGCTCCTTTAACACATGCTGGCCAGAGTTTGGTGTACATGGGCCAGCCCACTGGACTCAGGGAGAGAGACCTGTTGTGGGACAGCATGTGTCAAGGAAGAAAGGAGGCATTCTTCTTGGAACAATTTTCCCTGGACGTTAAGCAAAACAGAATGAGAAGAGCTTGAAATTAATTCTTTTCTTGATGGATTCTGAGCAGACATCTCAGCGTCATCACTGAGATGGCTGGCTTACTAAAGGATACAGAGTAGTCTTAGAGCTGTGTGTCTAGCACTGCACTCAGTTTCCCGGTATCTCCACAGATACTCTGGTCCCAGACAAGCCTCTAGGGACTTGGCAACCCCCAGTCTTTTTGTCCAGACAGATGTGCCTATTCTGTACATTTCATGAGAATGAAGACCTATGATAGGTGGTCTTTTACTCAGTCCTCTTTCCTGTTTTCAGGGTTTATTCAGGGCTTAGTCAGATATCTAGGCGTCACAGCATTATATGGCCAAATAATATCCCACTATATAATAGGCGTGTTTTGTTTGTCCGTTTGTCAGCTCATGTATGTTTGGATCGCTTCTACTTTGGGGCTATTATAAATAATGCCGCTGTGAATATTCATGTAGAAGTTTTTTGTAGGCATGCATTTAAGCTGAACTCTGCAGCCATCCTCTGGGGTAGGATTGCTTGTCTCCCTCTTTGACCCTGAGGAAGAGCAGCCCGTGCCAGGATATGCAGCTCCTGGGAAGCAGAACTAGATTCTGAATCCAGATCCTACCAGTTTTCTTGTGACCATTAAACTCTCAGGACTGGAGGGATGGCTCAGTGGTTAAGATCACTGGCTGTTCTTTAAGAGGACCCAGGTTCAATTCCCAGCACCCATATGGAGGTTCAAAATCATCTGTAAGTCTAGTTCTAGGGGATCCAATGCCCTCTCCTCGCCTCCATGGGCATCTGGCACACGAGTGGTACACAGACAAACAAGCAGGCAAAACACCAATTCACATTAAATAATAATAAAAAAAAGAATTAAAAAAAAAAAAAGGTCACAAGAGTTCATAATCCCAATTACTCAGGCAGCTGAGGAAGGACCATTACAAGTTTAGGCCAATTTAGCAAAATCCTATTTTAAAATTAAAAGTGAAGAAGGACTAAGGATGTAGCTCTTTGGTAGAGCTCTTGCCTAGGTTGGATTCCTAGTGCTATAAACAATTTAAAAAGCAAAATAAAATCAAGTCAGAAGGCTGCAGACTGCAGTCTGCTCTGTTTTAGTCCCAGCTGGGTCTGCAGTATTGAGCGCCTAGCTACAGTCAGCCAGTGGCAGGTGTTTAAGACATGAGTAAGTGGACATCTATCATCTTGGGGTCTGAAATGAAAGGGCTAAGACATGAGTAAGTGGACATCTATCATCTTGGGGTCTGAAATGAAAGGGCCGGGCTGGTTCTGTCTGGCCTTGTGCCTGTGGCTGCTGTTTAGGGACTTCTAGGGGCAAATGTTTGTCTTGTCCGAAAAAATAAGCCTGCTTTAGCATGCCTCTTCTTGCCCTGGAGCCTGGCTCAGAAACTCCAGAAGGCATTTTGAGTTTTTTGTGTGGCCCTCAAGGCCTCCATTGGACATGCCATTTGCTAGATCTGCCCTAGAAGGGACCTCCAGGATGAGGTGGCCTATTCACCCACTCACCTTCCTGTATGCGGAGCCCAAATCTTTGCCTCTTTGCTTCCCATTCTTCCCCTTTAAGAAGTGAGCACTTGACCTTGCCACTGAGTTGCATATTGAGCAGTAAAAATGACCAGAAATGCATTTAATCTCTTGGTTGGTTTTTAACTTTCTCCTGTCTTTAGGGCCTGCAAGTGGATGATGAGATTGTGGAGTTCGGCTCTGTGAACACCCAAAACTTTCAGTCGCTGCAGAATGTCGGCAGTGTGGTGCAGCATAGCGAGGGGGTGAGTTAGGTGTGCCCCAGCATCTGGGTGCCTCTCAAGCCTCAGACGCATGCTGCTTCCATTTAGGGAGCTGGGATGGAAGTCCAAGAGTCGGGTCTGGTAGATGGCACAGCTTGCTCAAGTGACTCCCTAAATGACACCTTTCTACAGCCCAGTCTCCTACTCTATCACACCAGGGTTAGGCTTCCAGCATCAGAATTTCCTGGAGGGAGCCAGGCAGTGGTGGTGCATGCTTTTCATCCCAGCACTCTGGAGGCTGGGGCTTGAGGATCTCTGTGAATGGGAGGCCAGCCTGGTCTGTCTACAGAGTGAGTTCTGGGATAGCCAGTAATATTTTACAGAGAAACTCTGTCTCGAAAAACAAAACAAACAAAATTTTCTGGAGGGAAGCAAACCCTCAGTGCTGGGCATCTGTCTGTCTGGGATTTGATCTTTAACACTGCTTTGGATTATGTTTTGTTCTTCTGAGTGGGTGTTGTTGTTTTGAGACAAGGTTTCTCTGTGTAGCCCTGGCTGTCCTGGAGCTCACTAATGTACTCTAGGCTGTCCTCGAACTCAGAGAGATCTTCCTGCCTCTGCCTCCCTAGTGCTGGGAGGTGTGTGCCACCACAATGTACACACTGGTTTTTGTTTGTTTGTTTTATTACAAAACAGTGCATATTTAGTTCAGCCATAGGAGTGTAGTAAGTTCTTTGTTACAACATGGATATTGAAAACAGGATTCAAAGTGAAAGAGACCTAGCACAAGGCCATATGATCCCACTCCATGAAACTGTCTAAAAAGCAGATGGACAAAGCAGAGAGATAGGAGATTGGTGATTGCTGGAGGAACAGGAGCTGACTGACTGCTAATGGTCTTTTGGATGATGCAAACATTCCAGTTAGACGTTTCTGGCTCATAACTCTTTGAGTGTAGGAAATCCACTGAGCCATATACTTTATTACATGCAAATTGTGTCTCAGTAACAAATAATAATACCTATTTATCTTACGAACAAAATCACCTAGTGCAAAAATGTTTTAAGTAAAAATCAAAGCCCTGTGTCTTTCCCTCGGTACCTTCTCCTGTGTGTGCTCACTTTCAGACTGGGGGTTGGGGTCCAGCAGGGAACAAAAGGAGAAAGCCCTTGTACTGAGAGCACATTGTGGGGGCAGGCATTCATTTAATAATGCCAGGCATGCAATTTCACACCCTGACAAGTGTTACAAAAGGAAGCACAGGAGTGTTGGAGGAAAGCAGTGGGGTTCTGATTTAGTTAGGGGTTGAAGGAGAGTGTTCCTAAGGACTGAGCCTTGGTGTGTATAGAAGTTGATTAAGTGTGGCAGCCACCACGGGAGAGCCTTCAGGCTGTCGAAGGCTGTGGGAGCAGGAAGAGCAAAGCAGCCAAAGGGTGTTGGTTGGAGGTTAGAACCAGGAGAAAGGAGAGAAGGACAGGATGTGGAGCTGGGGGATGGCCAGGTGTCAGGCCACTCAAGGCCAACCTTGGAGTGCCTCATGGTGGTAATTGGTTGCTGCCTTTACCTGGGGAGCAGCAGGGAGCTGCTGTACCTTCCAAGCTGGGGAGAGTTTGTTTTAGAGATTCCACTGCTGCTAGTTAGAGAGCAGGTGTGGAGGTCAGTTCCCAGGGTCCCAAATAGGGACCCAAGTGCTTTAATACACTACCCTGTGGGGGACATTCTTCTCAGATCACTACTTCCTACCACTGTGTTTTGCCTCCCACAACTTTGAAGTTGTAAACAGCCCCTTAACGCCAGCTTCAGGGACCTATAATTTCACAGTCAGGAAGGAAGTGGTATCTCAGCATTCTGCCTGCGTCCATTTGGAGTGTGAAGGAAGCTGAGTTGAGAGTGACCGTCTTTGCCTTTCAGAAGCCCCTGAATGTGACAGTGATCCGCAGAGGGGAGAAACACCAGCTCAGACTGACTCCGACACGCTGGGCAGGAAAAGGACTGCTGGGGTAATGCATTCACTCTCTCACACCACAGTGTTGTTGCAGTGTCCTTAGGTGAGGCTGCAGGCAGGAGGCAGAGACCCTCAGGTCACCTAGGAGTCTCTGGCTCTTTCATTACCTGAGCATCAGCTTTAAGAGGAGGAAAAGGGCTGCTGGGATGGCTCAGCCAGTAAAAGTATTCCTAAAAACCCTGTGATCTGATTTTGATCCCCAGTACCCACATGTTGGAGAGAGAACTGATTCCTGCAGGTTGTGTATGGCACACACACACACACACACACACACACACACACGGACTCTCACATACACAATGAATAAATTGAAAACTACAGCTTTGGACTGGAGAGATGGCTTAGCAGTTAAGAGCACTGGCTGCTCTTCCAGAGGACCCAGGTTCCATTCCCAGCACCCACATGACAGCTCACAACTGTCTGTAACTCCAGTTCCTGGGGATCTGACTTCTTCACACAGACATCCTTGCGGGCAAAACACTAATGCACATAAATAAATCATTTAAAAAAAAATACTTCTTTTTTAGAGATAGGGTTTCTTTGTAGCTTTGGAGGCTGTCCTGGAATTTGCTTTGTAGACCAGGCTGGCCTCAAACTCATAGAGATCCACCTGCTTCTGCCTCCTAGTGCTGGGATTAAAGGCATGCACCACCAATGTCTGATGACAAATACAATTTTTATGTTTTTGGTTGTGAGCCCAGCCTTTAACGGATGAGCCATCTCTCCAGCCCGACAAATACAATTTTTAAAGAAGAGAAAAAAAGTGTTGAGAAGCCCACGAGGCTTGTCGCCTGGAGGTCTCACCAGATGGAACCATCAAGCTTGAGCTGTGTCGCTGTTTCTTTTCACAGCTGCAACATTATTCCTCTCCAGAGATGACTGTCCCCTGGACCTCCAAGAAAACTGCTTCAGGCAGGCCTGCACTTGGGCCTGGGGGATTTCCTCATTCTCTTCCATCCCTCAAGTATAAGGATCTGGAAGAGCGCGGGTGAAGCCCAAACATCACTGTGGAGGACATGCTCTGGCCGCAGGTGTAATCTGTCTGGATTGAGGCATTATTAAAAACGTGATTTGTGCCTAGCTAAGTCTGTGCGAATTAGGCCATAGACCTATCTGGGGATTCTCTCCATTGAGCCAGTGAGTTGGAATGATTCTGGCAGGTAATGATTTGACTTCATTTTCTTTTTTTGAGACAAGAGTCCCAGTGTAGCTCTGGCTCTCCTGGAACTCACTGTGTAGACCAGTCTGGCCTTGACCTGACAGAGATCCTCCTTCCTGCCTCTGCCTCCTGAGTGTTGGGGCTAAGGGCATGCGCCAACATGTCTGGCTAGACCCTGAGGGATATTTATTATACATACATAATTTTTACGTAATTTTTTGAGAATTTCATACATGCATACCATGTATTTCTCTCCTGCTTAATTCCACCTTCAGTTCTGCACAGATCTCCCCTCAAATCCACTTCCCAGCTTCTTGTCCTTTTTTTTTTTTTTTTTTTTTTTTTTAAGAAAAAAAAAGAAAAAAGAAAAAGAAATAACCTACAGAGTGCAATTTGTGTTGCCAGTAATGGATGTAGGGCCTTCTACTGGAGGAGTGTGGTCTGGTCTACCTACCAGGGACCTCACCAATAACATCACAGGCACTTGAGTGCCCTTCCCTTTTTTTTTTTTTTTTGAAGCAGGGTCTCATGTAGCCCTGTCCAACCTCAGATTTGCCATGTAGCTGAGGATGATCTCAAACTTCTGGTCCTGGTCCTTCAGCCTCCAACTTCCAAGTGCATATCACCTGCCTAGGCGTTTCCTCTTGTGGAGGGGGTGGGGTCGGAGACAGGGTCTCTTTGAGTTCAGTCTGGCAGTAAACTTAGGGTCTTCCTGCCTCAGTTTCCAAAGTGCTGGTATTACAGTGTATGCCACCAAACCTGGCTCCGAATATAATGTAGGTTCTCTCTTCAGATAAACCTGGCTTTGTAGTGGTAATTGTGGCCATTGTACTATCCTACCTGATTTCCTACGATCCTCAAACCAAGCTAGGAAAGAGTTGGGAAGAAAGCAAACTGGTTCCTAGGCTGAAGTCAAGCAGGTTCTTGTGCTGGAAACTGAAGCCTGGAGCTCATGCTCTGGGCAAGTGTTCCACCTCGGGGCTGACGTCGGCAACTGGCCATCGACTCTGCTTGGAGCAGTACAGCTCTGGAGAGAGAAAGCAATAGAGTTCCATGCTTCCTCCAAAGTTGGCTCTGTATCCACCATAGTTCCATGAAGAGATTAGCACAGGTCAGGAGATCTCAAGGGTTATGTGAATGACGTTGGCTTCCTCTCCAGTAACCTGCTGGAGAGCAGCAAGCTCCCTTTCCTTCTGTAATAAAAGACCCTGCAGACGTTTCCTGATTTTGCTTCTATAGTTGACTTTGGCTATGCCCTGGGATCTGCAGCTTGGGAAGTTAGGGTGAACATGCTTACGGATGCTGCTTCCTTTTATTTTCTGTCTTTTGAGGCTGTAAAATTGGCGTGTGTGATTCCTTAGGACCATTTCCTTCCTTTCTCCATGTGCCTCACTTCCCCAGTTAACCACCAGTTTCTGTTTTGAATGTCTGGCACGTTGAGAGAGGAAACTCGTGTCCTTGGATTGGATTGCTCAGGACAGAGGCTGACAACTCTTTCTGTCATGCAGTCTGCATTGGTGTGTACTTCATGCCTTGAGTCCTCACAGTCAACTTGAATGCCTGCCCCAAAGTGCTTCAGCCAGACAGCCTCATGCATTCCTCTCGTAGCCAGACGAGCTGTTTACTCGTGTTTGCTGTTTAAATTGTAGGTTAAGTCCAAATATTTCCCAGCCTCTTTATAAGTCTCACACTGTAATAAACACAGCTTGCACCATTCAGTTCATCCCTTTCGAGATCTGCATATGATCACAAGCGCCTGGGCATGGTTTTACACTTGTTGGGGGAGTCATTCATATTCTCCTAAAATGCTAGCTGCGGAGTGTTCTGAACCAGTTCCATTGGCCAGTTTCCTGCAGGCCTCTCCTTGAACAGATCAGGACAGCCACCTTTGGCTCTACTGTGAGTCACTTTGACATGAATGACCCTAATGGATGTGAGCAAGGTAGGTTTGCAGAAATTCTGTGATAACAGCAAGGACCTACACTACACAGCTAATTTTCTCTGCATGTATGCCTTGGGGGGGGGGAGGTGGGCAGGAAAACAAACAACATACACACACTATATCTATCTATCTATACATACATACATACATACATACATATATATATATATATATATATATATATATATATATGCACCAGGGAATTGGGTTTAGTGCTGAGAGAATTTTATTAAAAGTTTCATACCACTTCTTGTATGGCCTTCTGGAGAGTCATGAACACATCTGTCCACCTTGTGCTGACAGCAAACTGCAAGGAGCAGTCCACTCAGATCAACCTGCTGAACCAGTGGGCCTTCTGGGGTTACTTACAGGAGCGTCCCACTCCAACAGTGAGAGCTTCATTGCACCATGGATGTATGGCTTGCAGGCAGTTCTACTCGAGTCACCTTCCCCCAGTAAAATCTCATGGAGCCCAGGCTGAGTTTGATCTGTCTCCATCTCCCTAGTTCTGGGTTCACAGGTGTGCTACACTACACCTGGCCCGGAGACTGCTCTAGCCTTTTTTTTTTTTTTTTTTTTTAAACTATTTTTATGCCCTAGGGAAGAAACTTCCTGAGGTTTCAGGGTTTTTAGGATTTTTGTTTGTCTTTGTTTTTCTGAGTTTCCTGAGCATGCCCGGTTTCTTCTATCAGCCCAAATACATTGCTTCATTTCCTTTTGTGCAACTTTGGGAAAAGTCAGAACTGCTCTTGTTGGGAGCTCTTTTTTCAAAGAGTCGCTAAGCAGAGCAAGAGTGAGCCGGTCGCCCGCCCGGCAGCCGGCAGGGGGCAGGCTAGTCCCGCTGGGCCTGTAATCACCATCATCATGCTACTTCCCTTTCCGGCCTGGGGCTTGTAGATATTGCCATGGAGACAGAGCTTGGGTGGCAACCGTCACTAGGGAGCGCGGACAGAAGACGCCGGGCTGCTTGGGAATCACGGAGGCAGGACGACCCAAGAGGACCAAAGTGGGCGCCCTCCTGTAAGTGCAAAGTGCCCGGGTGAGGATCCTGCCCAGACAGGCCAGGGTTGTGGGACCTGGGGCACCCCAGAAAGAGGAAGTGGCGGCGCTAGGACCTGGTGGAAGGGACACACCTCTTGCTACCTTTGCACTGCCTGGTTGTAGAAGTATTCCAGCCTAGCGTGCCGACACAGTTCTGACATTGGAAATCATAGCTGCGCTTTTTCAAACAAATTCCAGCTCTGTCTAGCCCATGCCTCTCAGAGGCATTTCTCCTCCTCCTCCTCCTCCTCCTCCTTTTCCTTTTCCTCCTCCTCCTCCTCCTCCTTCTTAAAGAAAGATTGGGCTGGTGTAGAACTCAACAGTTTTTCTCCTGCCTCTACCTCCTGAAGGGATTACAGGTATCGGGCCCAGCCCTGCTGCTCCCAAACTCTTGTTTGTTGTAGGGGAAATGAGAGAACTGTATCAGAGGAATTAAATTTTTAGAAAAATCATTTTTATGTGTCTGAGTGTCTGGTCTGCATGCATGTCTGCATACCACATGTGAAGTGCTTGCAGAATCCAGAAGAGGGTGTAAGATACTCTGGAACTCAAGTTACAAATGGTCGTGAGCCTGTTTTGGAGCTGAGAATCAAACCTGCAACCAGTGTTTTCAACCACTGAGACATCTCTCCACCCCAGAATTAAAATTTTAATTTTGTGTATCTATTGATTGATTGATTGCAGGTGGGTACATACCATGTTGTATGTGTTGAGGTCACATGACAACCTTTGGGAGTTGGTTTTCTCCTTCACCATGTGAGTCCTGAGGGTTTACCTTAGGTTGTAAGGCTTGGGGTTTCACCTCCATCCCAAGAACTTTTAAACTTTCAAGTACTTTACAAAAGCAGAGTTGCTTTTATCCCCATAATATCCCCCCCTCCTTTGCAAGCTCTGAGCTGTATCTGCACTGAGCATTTGATGTGTTGTCCTAGTCTTCAAATCATGCTGGAATTTAGGATAACCATTCTTATTTTTGCATGTGAGCAAATTTGACCTCAAAAGGAAAAAGGTACATGTTTCAGGTCAGAGAATCAGGGTGGTGGGCATGGGCGTGGAGGGGACCTTTGACTGTAAAACCCATGCTTCCACACTCAATCACCAACCCACACTGTTCTCTTCTTCCTTCCTATCACGGAGGTTGTTGCTAATGTCTTATGCCTTATGCATTTTTCTACCTGTGGAAATATGAATTATTTAAAGTGAGTCAGAAGATGCTAAGATCCTCCCTAGAAAGATGAGAAGGCTGAGGGTTGATATTTTAAAGATTTTTAAGATTCAAGCCCAGCTTTCCCTAGAAGATGGCATCCTTTTCATTCCCACAGGAAGGAAGCAGAGCTGCCACTGTGCATTTCAATGTTAATACCTCAGGAAGCAGGAAGCTGAAGCAGGAAACAAGAGGGGCCTGCTGAGTCTGTGTCAAACATTTTCTAGAGGAAACTACAGAAGAATGTCAGATGCAGAAGAAAGTGTAGAAACAGAAAAAGAAGAGGAAGAAGAAAATCTACAACACAGCCTAACTGAAGATAAATTATCATGGGAGGAGTCCCAGGAGGAGGAGGAGGAGGGATTGGAAGGGAAATGGATGAAGGAGGAGGAACATATAGAAGAAGGAGAAGCAGCAAGAGGAAAGGAAGAGAAAGGGGAGGAACAGATAGAAGAAGGAGAAGCAGGAAGAGGAAAGGAAGAGAAAGGGGAGGAACAGATAGAAGAAGGAGAAGCAGGAAGAGGAAAGGAAGAGAAAGGGGAGGAACAGATAGAAGAAGGAGAAGCAGGAAGAGGAAAGGAAGAGAAAGGGGAGGAAGAGAAAGTAAGAGGAGAGGAAGAGGAAATAGACAATGAGAAAGAGGAAATGAGAGAGAAGGAGGAAGGCATGAGAGAGGAGGGAGAGAGATGGGAGGGAAAGGAAAGCGGTGAAGAGGAAAACGGTGAGGGAAGAAAGGAAGAGGAGAAGGAAGAGGAAGAGCATGAGGTAGAAAGACAGGAGGGAACAGAAGAGGAGAAGAGAGATATTGTCATAAAAGAACCCGAGGAAAAAGTTGGAAAAGACCATGAAATGACAAAGAAGTCTAAAACCACATTCAGCTTAGATGATATTGTCATCAGCTCTGAGTCATCCACATCGGCTTCTTCATTGGTGAGTCCTAACTAACTCACCTTCCCTTTGATTCACACCGAAACTCACCTACCCAGTCATTCAGAAACATTAGTTGTGTGCTTAGTGTATATCAGGCTACAAGGCGCAAAACCAAAGTGAGACACATGGAGACATGACTAGGCACTTCCCGGTTTTCCTGAAGGTTTGTCTTGGGTTCCCAGCACCCACGAGGAAGTGTTTTGTAACTCCAGTTCCAGGGAATCTGATGCCTTCTGGACTCCTTGAGCACCTGTATACAACACACACACACACAAACACACACACACACACACACACACACACACACACACCATAAACACACTAAAAGAAAAAAGAAAAAACCACATGCTATGTATGTACAGTAATTGTGAGATGCCAAAGAAGGTGGGTTTATCCTGTTTGGAGGATGGTAAATGTAAGCTTCCGTAAGGTGTGGACTTGCCTTGGAAAAGGCCAGTGCACTACCTGAAGGTTAAACACTGGTTTTGGGACTGAGTTCCTGTGGTGTAACAGTGGTATGGGTTTCCCACAGTCTGCTCCCCAAGAAAGAACTCAGTGCTGGTCCAAGGGCTGGTTCTTTTTTATTTATTTATTATGTATACAGTGTTCTGTCTATATATATATGCTGTTACAGATGGTTGTGAGCCACCACATGGTTGCTGGGAATTGAACTCAGGACCTTTGGCAGAGCAGCCAATGCTCTTAACCTCTGAGCCATCTCTCCAGCCTACTCATAGTGGTTCTTACAAGGGCCCACTCTGAGGTTTTTGCTGTGTGGGCCAAGAAGATCAAGAATTAACCTGAACACAGCCATGATTCATATCTTTAGTACAAAATACCCCAGGCACAGGGGTGGAGAGATGGCTCAGAGGTTAAGAACACTAGTTGCTTTTCTAGAGGTCCTGAGTTCAATTCCTAGCAACCACATGGTGGCTCATAATCTATAATGAGATCTGGCGCCCTCTTCTGGAAGTGTAGGCATATGTGCAGAAAGAATACTGTATATTTAATAAATAAAATAAAACATCCCAGGCTTTCTTTTGAACCACCTGTTATGAGACTGGCTGACTGGGAATGGGAATGGGAAAAGACAGTAAACGGGACAATTGTGGCCTTGGGTTCTACACAAAGGCTCAGAATCTTTTGTTTCTATTTAAAGAATGGAATCTCAGGAAGTAGCAAGTCGTCCTCCCGCTCCCAAAGTCCTCAAGTAAGCGAGATTTTCAGAGATAATGATACAAAAATTGAAATTACTAAGGCGGCTGACTTCAGGTCTGAGGAGGAAGAGATCGATTCTCTCAGGAGGAAGTCATCGAAGGAAGATGAGGAAACAGCCCAAGAATGGAGAGACTCAGAACCAAAACAGGAAAGAAGGGCTAAAGCAGAATCCAGAAAACTGTCCTTCCTCCTCACAGGGGAGGAAAGGCAGAAGTCATCCCTGTCCCACACTGGGAGTTCCAAGGAGTCACTGGTGTCCACCTCCACAGAGGACACCTTGTTCCAGAAGGAGGAGGGCTCCAAGGTGTATCCTTTGGTAAGTGTCATCATGTGTCTTTCCTGGGCTTGGACAGTAAGTAGTGTGAGATAGGGCATCTGTGTATGTTGGGGAAGTTCCAGAGTGTATGTGTCTGTGTTATGTGTGGGCACATATGAAGGTCAGAGCAAAACTGGGGGGTCTTCGTCTTCTTTAGCTTCTGTTCACTGTTAGTAGTAGTATTATTACTTTTGTTTTTATTTTTGTTTGTTTGTTTCTTTTCTTTTCTTTTCTTTTCTTTTTTTTTTTTTTGAGACAGGGTTCCTCTGTGTAGTGCTGACTGTCCTGGAACTTACTATACCAGGCTGTCCTCGAACTCAGAGACTGGTGCACATATATATATATATTTGGAATTTGTGTTGTAAAGCAGCATGAGCTGCCCGGCCAGTGATACCCACCCTCATATACACACCCCCAATCTACCTGTCTCTGCCTCACCAGCAACTCACTTCCGTCATGCCTAGCTAGCCATTTCGTTATTTACAGGGTCCTAAGGAGTAAACTCAGCCCACTCAGTTGGCATCTCTCCAAACAGAAAAACTTTTAAAATTAATACTTTTTTAGGTAAACTATGCCTTTCTTTTAAAGTTCTGTCAAGAGCTGGGGGTTGAGGGGGGGCACCCATGTGTTAGACATGGAACTTGATGGCAACATCTGGGTTCAATAGCACTACTCAGCGGGCCGGAAATTCCTGGCATAGTTGGACTGTTACGTTGACTATTTCATGAGGGAGACTCCATCGTTTGTCTCCCCTCTATCTCTTCCTTTCCTACCCCGTTTCTCTCCTTTATCCCTTTGCTCTCTCTTATCTTCCTCTTCCTCTTGTTAAGTACTACAGATGTCCCTCCTTCCCTCCCCCTCCTTTTCTGCCTCCACTGGGTGGAGAACTTGAGAGCTCCCCAGACCCTCATCAGAAAGTGACAAATCTCTGGCCTTCCCTAGGAATCTGTCCTTGCTGTTGCTGACATGTATCCCAGGGAGGTGCCATCTGTGAGGCACAAAAACATTGTCATTTGCCCAGCCAAGGAAAAGGAAGAAGACGCCCCTCCCCCACTTCTTTCCCATCTGCTGCTTTCTGGAAATGGTTTGCTAGGATTCTTTCTCGCTTTTTGCTTTTTTTTCCCCCTGCCCCCTTTCTTTTCCTGAGGATTGGTGCTTTCAGAAGATTGATTCTATGTAAAGAACTTAGTCCTAACACAGAGTGAGCCTTTGTATCCAGCGCACATTAGAGTGTGGCTGTTTTGTTTTGCTTTGAGACAAGGTTTTGCTATGTAGCCCAGGCTGGCCTTGAGTTTACAACTCTCTTACCCTAGCCACCTGAGTTCCTGGATTATAGGCATGTATAATTGCTAATATTCAGTGATTTCTTCCACTACTCTCCACCTTGTTTTATTTAAGGAAGAATTTACAGTGCATTTATTTGTTAGGGAACATGCACAGGCTCCAGTGAGCATGTGAAAGTCAGAGGGCAACTTGCAGAGGTCACTGTCCCTTTCTGTCATGTGAGAACTCATGTCCTCAGGTTACTGTCTGAGCCACCTTGCCCATGTCCCGCTTCATTTATTTGGGACAGTACCTCTCACTTAGCCTGAAACTCGTGATTTCACTTAGACTGGCTGGCCAGCAAGCCTCTGGGATCCTCCTGTCTCCGCAGCCCTTTGCTGAGGTGTCTTAGTCTTGGTTCTTTTGCTGTGAAGAGACACCATGATCACACAATTTTTAGAAAATAAAGCCTTTCATGACCATCATCATGGTGGGCAGTGTGGCAGGCAGGCAGGCAGGCAGGCAGGCAGGCAGGCAGGCAGGCAGGCAGGGGGACCTGCATGGTCCTGGAGCTGAGAGCTTGCAGTCTGATCCACCTGCAGGTAGCAGGCGGAGAGAGACCTGGAGTGAGCTTTTGAAACCTCAAAGCCCACCCTCAGTGGCACACCTCCTCCAGTGAGGCCATGACTACTACTCCTTCCTAAACAGTCTGTCAACTGGGGACTTAGCTCAGAAATATATAAACCTATGGGGACCATTCTTTTTCTGTTGTTGTTTTGTTTTTCAAGACAGGGTTTCCCTGTGTAGCTCTGGCTGTCTTGGAACTTGCTCTGTAGACCAGGCTGACCTTGAACTCACAGAGAGCCACCTGCCTCTGCCTCCCAAGTGCTGCCTGACCCAATGAGATTTCTTCATGGCCCTTTTTTTTTTTTTATTTGTATATCCCAGGCTGGTTTTACATGCACTGTGTAGCTAAGGCTAACCCACTTCCCTCCATCTCTGAAGTGCTGACATTACAGGCATGGGCCACCACACCTGGCTGGAATCTTAACTTTTCTCATGACTAATTTTAAAATGACAAAATAAAATTTCAAGATGCACATGATGACCCTTTTAGGATTAGCAAGTCTCCAAAAGAACAGTTTCATTTGCATAAATTGGCTTTTTAGAACCAAGGCAAATATTAAGTAATTCTGTCCCTAGAAAGTGTAGTTTGAGACAGTAAAATTCTGCAGTTCTATCACTCATGCCCACACAATCCCAGATCTAAGCAGAAACACAAGTTCCAAGGAGCTGGCAGATGGAAACAAGAAGTAAGGGAATGAACCCTGTGTGAGCAAGAAGTCACTGAGCATATACCTGCCGCGCATGGCTTGGGAAGGAACGCACGGTCCCTCCATTCAACTTCCTAAGCATTGTTCCAAGAAAAGAAAGACAGCTGTTTGCTGTATTCCAGTATAACTCATCGATTTTCAGCCATTTCTCTTGACCACCACCACTTTCAAGGCTGCTTTTAATTGACTGGATTTTGTGTATGAGAGAGAACAGCTTCAGGCTTGGGGGAAATTTGGGCGGACAGTACATAGACTTTTCCACATAACCCTTGGTGCCGCCTTCTCCAGGTTCCGGTTTCATTATCAGCGTGTTTCAGCGTGGCATGCTTGCCAGCAGCAATGAGCCAATGTTAACATTCCTATTAGCCGATTGCATTAGCAGCCAGGTGGGCTGTGTTTTCTGTGGCTTTGACAGGGGTGTAACTCTGCCTGGCCACCATTCCGGTTTCATTCCCTGCACACCTCCTGCCCACTCTGCCCCCTCCTCCAAAACCCAGGCGCCACTGATCGTTTCCAATGTCTCGGTTGTTTTGCTCTTTCCAGAATGCCTTGGTTTCTCATTTCATAAAATTCTTATTTTGGCATTGTTCCCAAATACATAGTATAGTGTCTGTACTGGGTGCTGGTGTTGAACTCAGGGCCTTGCCCATGCCAGGCAAGTGGTTTACTACTGAGCTATGGAAAGCAGCAGCAGCAGCAACAACAACAAAAATACAAAATAAGGCAGAAGAACCAGCTATTCCAGCTGAATGCTTGCCTTTCTTATAAACCTGCTGAGTGGGTTTATTACTCGTTTTCCATCCTACGTTTTCAGGAACTAATGGAATTCATTATATTAAATACTCTGCTTTGGTACCAAGTGGGGCTTCAGGCCCGGGGAGTAGAGACCAGAAAAAGTAGTTTCTGTTGTTTGGTTTTTAAATTTATTTTCTTTATTTTTTAAAGAGTTCTTTTTAGACAAAAGACTTATTTTTATTTTGTGTGCATTGGACTCTTGCCTGCATGCTTGTCTGTGTGAGGGTGTTGCGTCTCCTGGAGTTAGAGTTATATACAGTTGTGAGCTGCCATGTGGGCGCTGGAAATTGAACCCGGGTGCTCTTAACCACTGAGCCATCATCTCTCCAGCCCAGAAAAAGTGTTTTATATGTTAAAGACCCTGCTTTCCTGCCCTCTCCCTCCATTCTTCCTTTTTTTTTGGAAAAAGTAGGACCATCAGGAGGGTGGGGAGTAAAAGGCCACCCTTTAACTATGTAGTGAGTTTAAGGCCAGCCTGGGTTACATGTGACCCTGTTTCAAACAAATAAAACAGTTTCTTTTTGTCCTTGGATTGTCAGCGACATTGTCCTCCAGGGGCAGACAGGGCAAGGCGAGCAGGAGCCTCAGCTCTGGGCTCGGCTTGCTCACGGCTCCCTGTATTTGTCTTTGTCCTCCAGACCATGACCTGGTCCTTTGGATGGAACAGTTTCCTCCCTGTCTACTACCTCCGGGAGGACCAGAGAATCCTTCTCTATGTCTGTGCTCACACCGCTGTCATCTACAATGTCTTCAGAAATACACAGTACCACCTTCAGGTATGCCTTGTCTCCCGTGAACAAAAAGATGCCTTTGGTTTTTCTGAGATAAGGACTCAGATATGGAGCCAGACTGTCCCTGGGATCTCAAACTTCCTGCTTGAGCCTCTGAAGTGCTCAGGGTGACCGGCATGTGCCACCAGGCCAGGCTGGAAGAAGACACCTGTAACCTGCATATAGAACTTGTCCTTGGGTCCCAGGGTGACTCCAGTGCCTCATCATCATACCTGCTGGCCTCTCCTTTTTCCAGAAAATTCTCCCTTTTAGAGCAGTGGTTCTCAACCTTCCTAATGCTGTGACCCTTTAATACAGTTCATGTTTTTGTGATTGCCCCCACCATAGATTTATTCTTGTTACAAACCCATAACTGTAACTTTACTCTTGTTATGAATCATAGTGTAAATATTTTTGGAGACAGAGGTTTGCCAAGGGGTCACCACCCACAGGTTGAGAACCACTGCTTTAGAGACACACATTGTGACAGGTAAGATGGCTCAGCCTGCAAGATGAAGCCTGATGCCCTGAGTTTGGCTCCCAAGCCCCACGTGGTGGAAGGAGAGAAACTATTCTCATATGGTGCCCTCTGACCTCCACGTGTGTACTGGGGCAGGTGTGCGTGGGAACACCCACACCCTCTACACACTCTCTGTCACACACACACACGCACACATACACACACACACACACACACACGCATATGAGGGTAACAAATGAATGTAATGAATAAAAAGAAAAATGAAGCATGTGTTGCTACCCACTGTCTATGAGTCTAGTCAGTACCCAGTGGCAAATTGCTTACTGATAGTAATTGTAACATATCCAGAATTGGAAATATCTGTATTTTGTACATTTCTGCAAATAAAACAAACAAACAAACAAACAAACAAAACAGCATGGCAGCATAGATTATGTCCCCACTGAAGGGTGTGATGAATTACATAGGGCAGCAGCTCACTGGGGATGAAAACCCACACCACTTAGACTCAGGCTCTCCATGCAGAAAAGACCCAGGTCACCACGCTGGAAAGCAGGTGTTAGGATGCCCACTTGACAGAAGAGGTAACAGGCTCAGAGTGTTGCAGTGATTAGTCTAGGGTCTCAGGACTTGGAAGTGCTCGGGAGGCCAGGGGTCCCCCTAACCTTCCCTCACTCCCGCAGGGTTTATTTCACCCCCTCCCTGGGCGTCCTCTATGCCTGCCTTCCTCACACTACTCGCTTCCTCCATCCCTGATAGTTTGACCCCTTCCATTGTCATCATTTCCCTACCTAAATGTCCTGTTTCTAAGTGTCTACTATTCTATTGTTGAGCTGGCTTAGTTATATGTTGCCTTTTCATGAATGTGTGATGTTATAGGACCTTCCAGTCAATGCCAAGATCAAAAGGATCTCAAAGTATTTCCCAAGCACCTAGGTAGTGCTCAATGTGATGCCAGGATGCAATCTAAGGACTCTTCCTTTCTGATAAAAACATCAAGCAAGTTCCATTGAAGCTGGATTAAGCATTTATCACCCAGTACAGGAACCACAGAGAGAAAGTGGCTAGGGCAGGCAGGCAGCTTAGATGGATGTGGCATGACAGACAGGAGCCTAGCCATGCCAACTAGGACTGACCTTGACCATTTGTTCACAACATAACTGCAACTTAACTGCTGCTGAGTTTCAGGTGTTGTCTGTGGTCATGAACAAAAAGGACCTAGTCCCGTCCTCATGGATTTCCCAGTCTGTGATATAAACAGGCCCAGGAGCAGGGAGCATAAATAGATGAGCACAGAGTGAACATTCAGAGGGGACAGAAAGGTACACTAAGAAGTTGTGAAGTAAGAGACCTTAGATTGGCCAGCAGGGCCCGAGAAAGTCCTGTTTCTGCTGAGGCCTGAAAAATGAGGAAGATGAGCCAACAGGACAGTGAGGGTAAGGATCTCCCAGACAGAAGTGGGTTCAAGGGCCAAGCTTGTATGCAAGGGCCAAAGAATGGTCAATGTGACGGGTACAGACTAGGTGGTGGGGAATCAGGAGGCAGGGGAGGAAAACGGGGACCAGGTCTTGCAAGAACATTGCCATTAAGCTGGGCAGTGGTGGCACACATCTTTATTCCCAACACTTGGAGGCAGAAAGCTGGCAGATCTCTGTGAGTTCGAGGCCAGCCTGGTCTACAGAGTGAGTTTCCAGACAGCCAGGGCTACACAAAGAAACCCTGTTTTGTTTTGGTTTTTGTTTGTTTGTTTTTGTTTTTTGGAGGGGGGGCAGGGACAATGCTATCATCTTCAAGAATGTTTCTGGAAAATTCCTCTGTTGTGTGGGGAAATGACTCCCAGGGTAGTGAGACTGGATCAGAGACCAGTGACCTGCAGAACTGTTGCGTGATCTGAGGTGAGCACTGCTGTGGGGAACAAAGCCAGCAGGGATTTCAGAGGTCCTGGTTGGGTTGACCACTTACCTCCATCCCTAGGGAGCACCTTTTCCTTTGGAGATTACAGTTCCTTCTGGTTCATGGAGGAAGAGAAAGCTTGGGAACCCAACCCCAGCCCCAACCCCAACCCCAATCCCAACAAGACATGGAGAAAACTCCTTGAGGTTCAAGCTAAGCCCCATACTTGTTTCTAAGCATGTCTTCTTCATTCCCACAGGGCCACCCTAACATCATCTCCTGCCTCTGTGTCAGTGAAGACAGGCGATGGATCGCCACAGCAGACAAAGGACCAGACTGCCTCATAATTATATGGGATTCCTTCACAGGGTAGGCTCTGTGTGGGCAAATCTTTCTTGCTCTAATCTCTGTAGAGGACTGGCCACTGTGGCTGAGAAAGGGCGAAATAATGTTGCTACCAAGAAACTTGGTTTCTTTGGTGCTCCAGAGTGGACTGGATCAAGGGAAGGTCATATCAGGGGGAGCATACACTGGGAGTTAAATCTGTCACAATGAGGAACCTTAACTTCTATATCAGACTTTCACTGAAGTTTTCTTTCAAGACAGGCTCCCCTGCAGCCTTTAACTGTAACTAATCCCCATTCACAGTCTACCATTCTCTGTCTCTCTGTGTGTGCGTAGTTTTATATTTAATTAACTCCTTAATTTGTGTGTGTGTGTGTGTGTGTGTGTGTGTGTGTGTGTGTGTGTGTACACCCCATGGCCTTCATGTGAAGGTTAGAGGAGAACTTACAGAGCATGTTCTCTTCTAATCCCCTGTGAGCCTGGGGGATCAACTCAAGTATTCAGACTTGCTGGCAAGCACCCTTACTCTTCTGCCCCTACATGCTAGACTGCTACAACTAGCTGACCCTCAGGTTCATTCTTTCACTAACCATTTGTTGGAATGGTTTTATTTTTAAATTCTATTTTGAAGGTCTCATTGTGTAGACCAACTCTCAGAGATCTACCTGCTTCTGCCTCCCAAATGCTGAGATTACATGCCCTGCCTGACTTTATTTTTTTATGGTAGTAAAATACAAACAACTTACAAGTCACCATGCTGTTTTATTTATTTTTATAATTACTATTTGTGTGTGTGCATGTGTTCTCACACATGCCACAGCACATGTGTGGGGTTCATAGATACTAGTTGGAAATGTTCTTTCTGTGTGGGTTCTAGGGTATCAATCTTGCCAGCAGATGCTTGTTCCCACTGACCAATCTATTTTATTTTCATTATTTATTTTTGGACTGTTTTGAGACAGGGTTTTGCTATAGAATCCAGCCTGTCCTTGAACTCACAATCCTCCTGAGTCCTGCAGTTCTAAGTGTGTACCACCATACCTGGCAGCCATTTTTAAATATATAATCCAGTGGCGTAAGTTACACCACAATGAGCTGCTTCCAGATATTGCCATCACTGTAAATAGCAACTGTGTTCTGAATAGCTGCCATCCTCTCTTCCCCAGCTCTTCTGACACACCTTCTGCCTCCATAGATGTTCCTTCTGCAGACATTTCCTGGGAATGGGGTTGTGCAACATGTGTGGGGATGGAGTCGTGCAGACATGTGTACTTCGGGCTTTTCTCATGGAGGGAAAGGCCTTTAGAGCTCATCCCTGTTATAGCTGCCTGTCTTGTTTTGGTTTTAAAAAATATTTATTGCCAGGCAGTGGTGGCACACATGTAGAGAATCTGGTCAACCCATCCACATGATAGCTCACAACCATCTGTAATTCCAGTCCCAGAGAATCTTATGTCCTTTTCTGGCCTCTGGGGGGCACTGCATGTATATAGTGCACAAATACATATGCAGGTAAAACACCCATACACAAACACACAAATAAATAGTTAAATATTTAATCTTATTCGCGTGTGTGTGGAGTTACAAGAAGGCATCAGGTCCCCAGGAAATGGAGTTAAGATGATTGTGAGCTGCCTCGTGGGTGCTGGGAACCGAACCTAGTTCTTCCGAAAGAGCAGCAAGCGCTTTTAACTGCTGAGTCGTCTTGACAGCCCTACACTATTTTTCAAATTCCATTGGCCATCAATGCAACAGGAATGAGGCATGACAAGTCACTGAAGGCATTTGTCACAGTTTTAATGAAAAACTAAATGAATTATTTTAGCTGAAAATTGAAGTCTGCACTGGCCACCATCGCCAGTTAGAGTGCTTTTCCAGTGATAGTCAGTCTGGTGTGCTTCCTTCTAGAACATCTGTTGCTGATTTAAACAGACACAGAGGGCCTTCATCGTGTGGTTTTTTTCTCTACAATATTTTGTACAGTCATTCCCCAAGAATAAATCTGATTGTGTAGCTCTCCTCTGGAAGCTACTACTGACCCATCAACCCAGCTTACAGGGAACATACACCCTGCATTAGAGCCATGAAGGCTCTGTCCTCAGATAGGGAACTGTCCCCACCTGCATGCCTGAGGTCCCTGTGGGCTGTGCGGCACCCCACGTTTCCCTGCTACAGAGCCCCTGCCACAGCCACTATGAACATTCCCCTGTGTGTCACAGCAGTGTCAGTTGGCTGGGACAAAGTCTGTGCTCCCGCTGAAGGACACTGGCTCTCTGTCATTTGAGAAGCGTCAGCTAGCTAAAATGCAGCTCCCGACTATCACATGGCAGCCCTCACAGCCTTGGGAAGGGCAGCCTGGACTTCACAGTGGGAGGGTGGATCTCAGGCCTGGAGAAGTTTCACCTGAAACACAGAGAAGACCAATCACTCAGATTTATAGTATTAACGTGTGTAGGACCCAAAAAGTTTGCTCACAACTGGAGGGCTATATAAAGTTTAAGAGAATTTGATGTAGCAGGGTCTTTAGATTTGCAATTCTAATTGAGAATATGTGACTGATTTTGGCTTCCAATTTTAAATAGAAACATTTTAGCTTTATAAACAGTGTTATAAATACTTAGGAAAGCTTAAGATTTACCATATTTATGGATAAATTTATTTGATTTATAGCAATTACTTCAGTATTGGTAAGAAGAATTTTGTTCTCCCCCCTCCTTGGTTTTTCAAGACAGGGTTTCCTCTGTATTGTTTTGGAGCCTTTCCTGGAACTAGCTATGTAGACTAGGCTGGCTGCAAACTCACAGAGATCTGCCTGCCTCTGCCTTCCAAGTGCTGGGATTAAAGGCGTGTACCACGAACACCTGGCTGAGAAATTTGTTTCTTAATTAGACCACAAAAAACTTACACCATAAAACTGAATATATTACATTTCCACACCCAGCTTAAATTTTTTAAAGGTTAATGGCCAAATTTGGGTAGCCATACATTAATCCAAGCCACATAAAAGTGACTGCAAAAATAGGCTACGTTTATAAAGTGAGTAGGATCTGTTTTGAGACAGTGGCCTTCTAGATAGTCTAGGGTGACCTGGAATTCATTGTGTAGCCCAGATTGGCCTGACACTCAGGATCCTCCTGCCTCAGCCTCCAGCTGCTGGGCTCATGGGTGTTTGTCCCCACTCAGCTAATCTTTTGCTGTGGTCGTGGCTGCAGTAGTGAGCCTGGGGTCACACACTTGCTCTGTGTCACTGAACTACATCCCTAGGCCTGAGTAAGACTTTTAAGTTGAACAAAAACCTTAAGGGAAAATGATGTTTTCCTTTAATTTGTCACTTTAATAAAGAGAATATTAATTCTAAGACCCAAAACAGCTTCTGAATAATTTTTTGTTTTTAATGGGCCATTTTATCAGGTCAGATATAAAACTCAAACCAGGCACCAAGCTATGGGTGGATTTTCTCTGTCCTGCCAGCCAACTCCCAGATAACCACATAGAGACTTATTAATTACAAATGCTCAGGGCTGGAGAGATAGCTCAGTGGTTAAGAGCACTGGCTGCTCTTCCAGAGGTCCTGAGTTCAGTTCCAATTAGAAATGCTCAGCTGACAGCTTAGGCTTGTTACTCTTACATCCTAACCCATATTTCTTATCTATGCTCTCCCACGCGGCAGTACCTTCATGTTCATCTCCTGTTTCCTCTCTGACTGGCTGGCCACTCTACCCTTCTTCCTTATGTCCTCTCTGCTCCACAAATCCTGTCTAGCTATTGGCGATTAAGCTTTTTATTAAACCGATCTGAGTGACAAATCTTCAGCTTACAAAGGGATTATTCCACAGCACCAAGCTGGGCTACATGGTGAGACTCAGAGTCTAGCTGGGACCCCGTGTCTTAAACAAGCAAGCATCGGTCCACACTGTTCTTATTGAGTCTCGAGTGAAGGCGACAGTCCACAGAGGCTTCTGAGAAGAGACAGTGTTGATGGTGCCCCTTCTGTTGGTAGATTGTTTGGGCATCCCCTTGCATGGGCCAGTTTTCCCTCAGGGTCAGGTTGGATGTTCCCTTACTTGCAAGGCCTGAGATCCACCCTCCCACTGTGAAGTCCAGGCTGCCCTTCTTCCCAAGGCTGTGAGGGCTGCCATGTGACAGTCGGGGGCTGCATTTTAGCTAGCTGACGCTTCTCAAATGACAGAGAGCCAGTGTCCTTCAGCGGGAGCACAGACTTTGTCCCAGCCAACTGACACTGCTGTGACACACAGGGGAATGTTCATAGTGGCTGTGGCAGGGGCTCTGTAGCAGGGAAACGCGGGGCGCCGCGCGAAACCCCCTCCCAGCTTAAGTCAGTGGCTTCGCGCCCACATACTTACTCCTGCTATCTCTTGCGATCATTGGCTCCCATTGGAGTTTACACGTCACCTAGTTGAATTCTGTATGTGTCAAGGCTTTGAATGAACTGTGAAGTCTCAGCAGGGACACAGAGTAGGAGCGTGTGAGTGAAAACAGGAAAACGTCTCCTCACTCAAATCTGGTCTCCAACCCAGAACCACGAAGTATAGTTGGGAATCTGTTCTGGGTTTTATGTGTCTGAAGGGGTGGACAGGCTGTGTTTGCCTATTTGCACTTGGATTTTTTTCTTTTTCTTTTTCCTTTTCTTTTTCTTTTTCTTTTTTCTTTTCTTTCTTTTTTTTTTTTTTTTTTCATGTGTTTTGGTCACTTATTTAGCTCAAACCTCATTTAAACAATGTTTCAATTGTGGTCTGGAGAGAAGGTTCAGTGGGTTATAGCCCTGGTTCCTGGCACCTTCGTGGTGGCTCACAACTGTCTGTGACTACAGTTCCTGGGGATCCAATGCCCTCCTCTGGCCTCCATGGGTGTAATGTAAGGCTCTTGTGTGAAAGTGTGAAAGTGAAACAGCCATACAGATAAGAACAAGATAAAATAATTAAAGAAGAATGTTTTAATCCCCTCTCTACCGGCAATTGCTTTTTAAAACATTGTTTATTTTTATCACATCCATTTATCATGGAGGCACCTGTGTGCCATGACTCAAGCGTGGAGGTCAGAGGACAACTTGTTGGAGTTGGTTCTCTCCTTCTACCATACCAGCCCCTGGGGTCCAACTGGGGTCATCAGAATCCTTTTCCGAGTCTGTTGGGAGGCAGAGCATGGCGGCCAGAAGTCACAGTACTGCCCTGGAGCGAAGCAGCTCATCTCTCCCTAGCCAGGAAGCACACAGGAAGGGGCTGGGGCAAGCTGTCTCTCTGGGACATGACTCATGACTAGTTCCTAAAACAAGGCCTGTGTGTGAGTGGGTGGTGTGTGAGTTTATATGCACGTTCTGGGGACCCAGACTCTGGTCCTCCTGCTCGCATGGCAAGTGCTGTAACCACTGAGCCATCTCCCAGCCCCACATTCTAGTTTCTACCGTCATTGAGTAATGCCACACTATGAATCACTTCAGGGAATTAATCAACTGAGAAGCCTTCAGTATTCAGTCACTTCCCCCAAGTCTATCAGCTGATAGCCAGGCCCTTGTGGACATTGCAGGTTCAAACCTTACCATATCCATCATGTCTGGCAAAAGTGCCTGCTTAGAGTCAGCACCAGGAACAAGTGGCTGAGGGATCAGGGTGCCGTGAAGACAGCGCGTAGTGCACTCACCTACGGCTCCTGCTCCGAGTTAGGCCAGCTCTTCTCATGGAGGTAAAGTGAAATAACGTAAAACCGGACACATGGGAGTACACAGTGAGGGTTGGCATTTAGTCACAGCCTTACACAAGCATCACTGGCTCTCCACGTCCCCTCCCTGAGGCAGTCACCAGGCTGGCTTTGCTCAGAGTTGGTACATTTCCTATCTGGGGGGTGTGTGGATGTGAGCTCTGTGCCTGGCTTCTTGTACTAGTGTCACGCTCTCAGGGTGTGTCTGTGTTGTGGCATGTGTCAGTGCGTCTTTTCTCTTTGTGGAAGAATGAAGAATAATGACGGTTTGCTCGTGTATTATTAATGAATAAAAATGAACTAATTCAGCTTGCTTACTAGCTCATAGCTGCAACCCCAGCACTCAGGAGGATCATAATTTTGGAGCCAGTTTGGACTACAGAGCAAGATCCTGTCTAAAAAGGGGGCTGGGGTGGGGCTGGCAGCTGGCAAGATGGCTTAGCCATTAAGAGTCTGGCTACGCTTGCTGGCTTCAGTTCTTAGCATCCATACCTGGCAGTTCACCTGCTTGTAACTCCAGCTTCACTGCATCCAATGCCCTCTTCTGGCCTCCACAGGCCAATCATTCATGTGCACATATCTGTGCACACATACACGCAATTTTAAAATAAAACAAATATTAAAAAGATTAATTGCTGGACAGTGGTGGCACTTGAGTCTACAGAGGAGTTCTAGGTCAGGCAGGGCTACACAGAGAAACTCTGTATCAAAGAACAAAACAAGGGCTGGCTCAGAGGTTAAGGTCATTGACTTCTTCCAGAGGCCCTGAGTTCAATTCCCAGCAACCACATGGTGACTCACACCATCTCTGATGGGATCTGTTGCCCTCTTCTGGTGTGCAGGCATACATGCAGACAGAACACTGTATACATAATAAATAAAATAAATCTAAAATATATAATAAACATAAATAGAAAGAATAAATTATTTGGACACAAATGTTAATTAGACATAAACATTCTTTGCATAGACAGATCATACTTTGTTATGTTTTTGGAAGGTGTTCAGCCCTGTCACAGCCTCACTGGGAAGCCAGGCATCCCTCCGCAAGGCCCGTCCCTGTTTGTCCTGTTTTTCAGAATCCCCGTGCACACCATATTTGACAGCTGTCCAGAAGGTAATGGCATAAGGTCCATAGCCATCACTCGTGATGCCAAGCTTCTGGCTACCATCTCAGATGCTGAAATCCAGGTAAAGTGTCCTTTGCGTAGACCTCTCTGAGCTGGCTAACATTGCCGGATGTCTTTGCGGTCACCTCCACACAGGCCACCTGGGATGTGTATGATGTTCTAGAATGAACAGATTTCACAGTGCAGTCCTTCTAGCAGTTACCTGAGGCCTCACCCTCAGGGGCCTCTCACGCTGTAGCCACCCCCCCACTCTCTCTCTTGCAGAAAGTGTGCATCTGGAAGTGGACTTTGGCAGTGGAGACGCCTTCATGCACTCTCAACCTGCCCAAAGAGTATGGTTTCCAGGTGCGTTATGAACTCGTGAACGGTAGCCTATGCTGACACCGGGGCTGCCCCCTGGGAGCTCTTTGTGTTGGTGTGGTTTTGTCACAGTGCAGACGGGCGGGCCTTTGAACAACACTTTCCTAGCCCAGGTCTCACTTTATGCTTTCTAATAAGAGCTAATGTGTTTGACACACTAGCTATGGCATCCTAGATTCTGCCCAGTTCTTTACTTACGCTATCTCCCATAAGCTACACAAATGTGCAGGTGCAGAGTTATTAATGTCTGTGGACTACCACTATTAATTTTTAAATAATCCATCTAAAGACAGCCTGCCAGTAGCCTTCCTTATTCCAGAAGCAGGTGCTCAGCTGCTTCTGACCTTGCGGTGAGTTGGTGAGGTATATGGATACGTGGTCAGCTTGCCTAAGAATAAGAAGCCTTGTGTAGCACACCCTGAGTGCGCACATCAGGTCTCTGTGTCCCACGTCATTGCTCTGCTTCTCATGTTCTCACTCTTCCTTCAGGAAGTATAGAGGACTGGGCTACACCTGGCTCTGTGACACGTGGGTCACCTGAAACCGAGTGTTGAGTGACTAACTCGGCAAGGCCCAGATCCTGATGCAGTCACATGTCCAGCTGCCCTGCCTCCACAATCCTGTCGGTCACTCAGAAAAATAAATGCCTCTATTATTAAAGTTTGCACTGATCCAACAGCCCCCTATATGTGGCTATTTAGGGGGGCGCACGTGTGTGTGTGTGTGTGTGTGTGTGTGTGTATGCATATGTGGAGGTCACAAGGGTTTATGTCTGGAATTAACTTCCCACCTTACTCACTGGGGCAAGGTCCCTCAATCAAACCCAGAGCCAACTGATAGCTGGCTAGAAAGACTAACCCTATCTGGGGATTCCCCCACCTCTGCCTTCTGAGGCTGGAATTACATACAGGCAGGCCACCAGGATCACTCAACATTTACATAGGTTCTGGAGATCCCAACTTCTGTCCTCAGGCTTGTATGGCAAGCACCGTTAACGGCAGAGCCATCTCTGTGTGCTCTTTAGTTTTTGTTAACTTGACTCCAGCCTAGACATATTTGGGAACAGGGACTCCAAACTGAGGAACTGCCTCCATCACATTGGCCTGTGGGAAAGAGAGGTGTTTTCTTAAATGCTAATTAATGTGGGAGGGCCCAGCCCACTGTGGGCAGTGCCATCCAATGGGCAGATGTGCCTAGACTGTATAAGAACACAAATTGTGCAAGCCTTGAAGAATGAGCCAAGGACTGCCCTTCCCCTGCAGTCTCTGGTTCCTGCCTGTGTCCCTGCCTCAGCCTCCCTCAATCAAACCCTCTCTTCTTCCCATTGCTTTTGATCAGGGTTATTTTGCAGCAACGGGAAGCAAACTAGGACACCAGTCCCAGGCTTGGCATTTTTGAGACAGGTCCTGGTTTCGGGTCTTGGCCTCCCAAATGCAGGGATTACAGGTGTGTGCCGACACGGTTGGCTTCAGGTTTTTTGTTGTTTGTTTTTGTACAAAATGCCTTTAGGACCTTACCCCCCCCCCCAGCCTATAGATCACTTTGTGAAGTATTGTCATCGTAATTACGTTGTTTTCCAATCGCAGAGCACCAGGTAACCCACTGTTTGTTTATGCTGTCCCTGGTTCTGTCTTGGGCAGTGCTTTGTAATTTCGAGTGTACAAATCTCTTCGCCTCCTGAGTTAAATTTATTCCTGCATATTTTTTTCCCTCTTTGTGGTGCTTTTGAAAGTGGAATCGCTTCCCTAATTCCTGCTTTCAGGTTGTTCATGGCTGCTGTGTAGAAACACAGCTGGATTCTGCTGCTTAGTTTTGTGTCCCGCAACTTTGCCAAATGCACTATTTAAATTTAAATTGATTACAATGAAATCAAATGACACGTTTGGTTCTGTGGCTTTACTAGCCACATTTTAAATTCTCTGCAGCCACATGTGGCCTGTTGGCTGCAGTATTTGATACACTCCACAACTCAGGTTAGTCCAGTGGGCTGTTGTCATGTCTACCTTCCCCACAGCCATTCCCAGGCTGAGGGCTGACAACATTCCTCGAGTGTCATTGAGAGGATGGGGCCCTGAGGGGCTAACACTAGCCTGTCCTCACTCCAAAGCCTCCAGTCTGCCTCCAACCCCACAGCGTTTCCCCTCCGACTGCCCCAAGGAGGGCTAGCTCACTAACCCTCTCAGTCCCCTCCAGGTATTTTCTCCTGGGGCCTTCCACACTGCCTCTCCTTAACCCTAAACCAGCTCAGAGCAGATCACATCGATAGTCTCCAGCAAGCGCCTGTGGACCCTGCACCCTCTTCTAGCTTTTGCCCTTGTCTTTTTCTTAGTTAGGTTTTGTTTTGTTTTAAACTGCTTTGAAGGGACACCATGACCACGACAACTCTTGCAAAGAAAACATTTAATTGCGGTGGCTCACTTACAGTTTCAGAGGTTCAGTCCATCATCATCATCATGGTGGGGGACATGGCAGCATGCAGGCAGATGTGGTCCTGGCTACATCTTGACCAGAAGACAGCAGGAAGTTGACTATCAGTCACACTGAGGGAAGCTTGAGCCAAAGAGACCTCAAAGCCTGCCCCTGCAGTGACACACTTCCTCCAACAAGGCCACACCTATTATTGCCACACCCTTTGGGGGCAATTCCTTTCAAACCACCACACTCCTCTTCCTATAAAACTTCTAGAAGGGAGCTGGTAAGATGGCTCAGTAGGTAAACGCAGTTACTACACAAACTGATGGCCTGAGTTGGACCCTGGAACTCATGGCAGAGAGCGATATGACTCCTGAGCATAGTCCTCTGGCCTCCATGGGAGGGCCGCCACTCACACATAATCCATAATACAAAAAAAGTTTTAAACCTAGAAGAGGTCTCTCCACCCCTTCCCTCTATTTTGGATCTCACCTTCTCTCTCTTTCATGATACCTCCCATCCTGGAAAGTTCTTGCTTACTAACTTTTAATTTCATACTAATTACTGTTGTGTGTGCATGAGTTTGGGGGGGATGTTGTATGTGTAGATGTCAGAAGACAACTCTGTGGAGTCAGTATGCCCATTCCACCTTTACACAGGTTTGGCTGGTCAAACTCAGAGTGTCAGGCTTGCATGGTGAGTACCAGATATCTTTACCGGCTGAGCCAGCTGACTTCGTGACACTGGTCACAGATACATATTTTTTAAATTTATTTCTCAGTTTTGGCTGGTGGTGCCTTGTGTCAACTTCTTGTTTATCCTCTGTTAATGGGCATTTACGTTATTTTCTCCTCATGACTAATAAGAGCAGATGCTTCTGTGAAACAAACCTTCATTTCTCATTTTTAAATTTTATTTGATTTGTTTTTGAAGGTTATTTTCCCTAAATGGTGGCTGATCTTAAAACCTTCAATCCTGGCACATGGGAGGCAGAGGCAGGTGGATCTCTGTGAGTTCCAGACCAGCCTGGTCTGCTGAGTGAACCCCTATCTCAGGGGGAAAGAAAAAGAAAAAAGAAAAGTATAGAAGTTATTTGCAGTTCAGTAGATAACTTCCTTGGCATAAAAGACACTGTAACCAGAAAGTACCCTGGTTGAAGGTTTGTCTTCAGCTGTGGGGAGATCTGCATACCCCACCCCCACCCCACCCCCACCCCAGCCCCACCCCAGCCTGTGTGCTGACCTGTGAGACTAACATCAGCATTGGAGGTTCACATTTACATTGCAGTGACAGAGCAGGCGGCTGCCAAGGATTGGCCTGGAGTAGTGGGAGAGCTGCAGAAACAGCTTGCTTCACCTCAGCTTGTACAAAGTCTCTCTGCCTCCAGCATCTTAGGCAGCAGGCCCCAGGCAACTCCCCTCCAGTCCCTAGGGGTTTGTGTGTAGGTAGCTGTGGTTATTGTTTGGTTTCTGCATTTAACGTTTCCCTCACTGCAGTTTCTGCAGAGTTGATTTTTGGGAAGGGCGCCAACAACTCACACCATACTGTCTTGGCAGGAATCAGAATTCCCTCCCAAAGCCACACATTCATTCCAAGATCTCTTGTGGCCCTGTCAGTCTCAGAGGCATGCATTCATTGGCCTTTGTCTAAAAGAACAGAGAATAAAGATTATTAGTGATGCGGTAGAGTCTGTTGTTCAAGGCTGGAGTACATGCTTAGCTGTGTGACACCCTGGGTTCACTGTGGAACGTGGGATAGGGGGAGAATAAATGAATAACTAAATGGCAAATATAGTTTATTCTTTGCTTGCTACAGATGATGACTTGAAATAACTAAAACTTGTAAAGGAACACATCTTACACTTCTCTCTTCACAGCCAGTATTTAAATGCCCTTCTTTGTGTTTCCCAGGTTCCAAGTCTTTTACATGTTTGTATGTATATATCCCTACTCAGTTATTTATTTTAATTAGAGTTATTACTTAAGTGTAACACTCAGCCGAAGCTGCGAGAGACAGGTTTGTTTTTATGTAACACATTTTTGTGCCTTATGCTTCAGAACTGCCTCACCTTCAACCCAGCAAACAATAAAGAGCTGGTGAGCAACAGCAAGACACAGACCGTCTATTACTCCTGGGTAAGTAGAGGCAGGGTTGTTTCAAACTGTGGACGGAAACACATGTTTACTTTTTGAACGTAGATGTTCCATAGTATAACAATAGTGCATCCTTTTAGGAGAGAATGAGCATATATTTAAACATTTTGATTTAATTGTGATATTTATCTTTTCTTCATTGGAAATTAGCATATTAAATTAGAAGCAGATAATTAAACTTCATTTAATTTTTTTTAAAGTAATGAGGCAAATATTTTTGGATTATATTTAATAGGCCTAAAAGATGGGGGTTTCTTTGGCTTGTTTGTTTGATTGTTTGTTTGACACCTTTGACTCTATTCCAAATTTCAGAAAGGATTTTTTTTGTAGCCCTGGCTGTTCTAGAACTCACTCTAGACCAGGTTGGCCTTGAACTAAGAGATCTGCCTGCCAAGTGCTGGAATTAAAGGCATGACTCAGAAAGTTTTTAAAGTAAAAAATAATTTATTTTTTGACAATTTCATACATGTAAACAATGCATCTTGACCATGTGCACCCCAGTTCTCTCTCCAGCTGCCCTCAGGGATCCCCAACTCTTCCCTCCCATTCCCTTCAGGATCCCCAACTTCTCCACCCACTCCCCTAGGCACCACAACAGGTCCCCCTCCCCATTTTATGTCATTTGTTTATTTAATGAGACTAAAGGAGCACCCAAACAGCCCCATGGGAACACAGATGTACAGTGACTCAGAGTCCCTAGATGCTCACCTTACAGAACCGCAAACAGGGGCTCACACAAATAGTTCTACACAAATAGTCATTGTGGCAGCACTACTAACAATGACCAGAATGCTTGGTGTGCACATCTCTAATCCCAGTGCTAAGGTAACAGAGGCAAGAGGATCCCTGTGAGTACGAGTCCAGCATGGTCTCCAGCATGGCAAGCTCTAGAAAAGCCAGTCCCTCATAGAGAGACCCTATCTCAAAAACCAAACAAATAGCAAGAAAAGACATGACCAAAAGCTAGAACTCAGTGTGTATCAGCTGATAAGCAGGCGGACAAAATGTGGTCCAGCCACACAATGGAGTAGTGCTGAATGAAGTGCTCACACTCTCTGTGATGTGGATAAGCAAAAAAGAAGCTGAATGGACAAGATGGCTCAGTGGGTTAAAGGTACCAGCAGCCACATCTGATGACCGGAGTGAGTTCCTTTCCCAGAGCCCATATATATTTGGAAGAAGAGACCAGTTCCACAAAGTGGTCCTCTGACTCCTGTACACACACACACACACACACACACACACACACACACACACACACACACGCATGCACGCACAATAATAATAAATAAATACATAAATAAAATGATACTTTTAAAGATGGCATGCTGGATGTAGTAGCCTAAGCCATTAACCTAGTAATTGAGAGGCGAAGACAGGGGCATCTCTATGAGTTTGAGACCAGTGTGGTCTAAAATCACAAAGGAAATAAAAAATAAAGACAAAGAAGAAGCCACACTGTGGCCTTTAATCCCAGCACTCGAGGCAGAGACTGGCGGGTATCTGTGAGTTCGAGGGCAGCCAGGTTTATAGAGTTCCAGAAGAACCAGCCAAGGCTACACAGAGCAACCCTGCCTTGAATAACCAAACCAAACCAAAACAAAAAACAAACAAACAAACAAAAAAAACCCAACCAACCAACCAACCAAACGAACAAACAGAAACCACACAATTTGGTTATTACATGTATGATTGTATTTGTATGGAATGTTGGACTAGGTAAGTCCACAGAGACAGGCTGAGTACTACAGGGAGGGAGTGACTGCAGGTCTCCCCAGGATGACAGGAATGGTCTTTATGCAGCATTGTGAATGTCATACATGCCACTGACATGGAAACCTAAATAATGCACTTGCCAAAAAAAAAAAAAAAGAAGCAAGAAACAGCAAAGCATAAGCAAAGACTTGCTGAGAAGCTGCCTGTCAGTGTGCTCGCTGCTTCGGATGTCTATTTCCTTTTAAAGCCTCATTAGTGTAGAGCCCAGCTTTGCATTAACCACCATGCAGAGGCACAATCACACCTGGCTCTTAGATAGATTTGCGTGTTTCTTTTAAAATGTTTTTAGATATTCCCCAGGCGCCAGGCTCTCTTCCTATAGGAACTTCACCCCTCCTACCCATTTGGTCACATTTGCTCTGGTTTAGCTAGCACATAGTGCCTGTTTTGGCAGCTAAGTCTTTAAATAGTAATGTCCTTTTCTGTGCTTTTCAGTTTGAAGAGAAGGGTATCCTTGCTCACAGTGCCCCGGTTTTAACAGAGAAAGTGAGTATTCCTGTTGTATTTTCATTTCAGACACTGAAGGGTAAACACACTGTGCAGACCTTGTGGTTGTGGGCTGGGCCTTCATGTGAAGCCATTGGGAGATAATTTGAACTTTTTCTTTGCTTGGATCCTTTATCCATAATGGATCAGCTTATGAAAAATAATACAAGTGTCATAAAAATAAAATGAAATGTTGTGGGAAAAGATGTTATTGGTATGAGTGGAATGATATAGTGTAAAGGGGGACTTTGGAAGGATCCCATATTAAGTGGGAGATAGAGACTTTCAGACATGACTTACGTATAAAGCTTATTAGGGGAAGGGAAGGGAGTAAGGGAAGGAAAGAGAGGAGAGAGAGAGAGAGACAGCTGCCTCCACAGAGAAGGGACAGAAAGAGATGGGGGAAGTGGGTGGAGCTGGCCTCTTAAAGGGACCTCTGCACCTGTATACAGAGCCAGGGTACTGCTTGCCTTGCGCAGAGGCGGTACACTTTGCCAGGTCCCCAAGGGGTGGGGCCAGCTTTGCCTGGATTACAATAATGAGAAAATATCCAGAGGATGGATAGATTTTGTAATGTGTATATGACAAAGAATAAGAGTCAAAAGTATGACAGTGGACATGCCAAAGCGAAAAAAATAAAGATGAGATGAATGGGCACAAGGAAAGATGGTTTTTCCTGGGTTCAATCCCCAGGACTACAAACCAACCAACCAGCCAAACAAAAACACTCCTCTGTCTGTAGACTTTGTTCTTGTGAATGAAAATGTAAGAAATATGGTCAACGATCACGACTCCTGGTGGTCATGTCTTAAAATCCCTGTGAATAATGAATTAGAAAGTAGTGGACCATTGCTCCTGAGGGAATACAGAAGTTGGTTTCTGTAAGCTGGTACCATGTTTCAGGTGATGAGTGCATAATCATGTTTTATGTAGGCTCCTGCTTCAGAGATATTTTTTAGATGTAACATTGAGGACCAGGAGTGATGGCACATACTTTGGGAGGCAGAGGCAGGCAGATCTCTGTGAGTTCGAGCCCAGCCTGCTCTACAGAGCAAGTCACAGCCAGGACTGCACAGTATCTCAAACAAAAAAAAAAAAAAAAAAAAAAAAAAAAAAAAAAATCCCAGCACCATTGAGGGCTGAGGATGAGGATGTAGTTCAGTTATTACAGTGCTTATCTGCCATTTGTCTAAAAGGAGGGAACCTCAGTTTCAAACAATGCCTCCATAAATCCAGCTGTAAGGCATTTTCTTTTTCTTTCTTTCTTTCCTTTTTTTTTTTTTTTTTTAGAGACAGGGTTTCTCTGTGTAACAGCCCTAGGTGTCCAGGCACTAGCTCTGTAGAGTAGGTTGTCTTCAAACTCACAGAGATCCACCTGCCTCTGCTTTCCAAGTGCTGAGATTAAAGACATGAACCTCCATCACTGAGAGCGTTTTTTAAATTAGTGGTGTGTAGCGCCACCCCTGGGCTTGGTGGTCCTGGGTTCTATAAGAAAGCAGGCGAAGAAAACCATGAGGAGCACGCCAGTGAGCAGCAGCCCTCTGTGGCTTCTGCATCAGCCCTGCCTCCGGCTTCCTGCCCTGCTTGACTTCCTGTCCTGACTGCCTTTAGTGATGGACTATGATTTGGAAGTGTACGCCAAATAAACCATTTCCTCCCCCAAGTAGCTTTAGTAGAAACCCTAAGACACAAACCTAGGATCTTCTTGTGGAGGGCAATGGGCAGCAGAGTTACTGTTTTATGTAATAGATAACTGAGTTTCCTCCTTTCTCTCCTTCCTTCCTCCCTTTCCTTCCTTTCTTCCTTCCTTCCATCCATCCATCCATAAGTTCACTGAAGGGCTTTATCACAGCTCATGTTTTTCTCTCTCTATATTTTAAAAGTTTTAAAGTTAAGTGTATGTGGTTGTGGGGTTTTGTGACTGTGAGTGTTGGTGTCCTTGGAGACCTGGGTATCAGATTTCTGGGAGCTGAACTCACAGGCAGTTGTGAGCAGTGTAACATGGGTGCTGGGAACCAGTCCTTTGGAAGAGCAGTGCATGCTTTCTCACTGAGCCGTCTCTCCAGCCCTTTCAGTATTTCCTCTCTGAAACCATGTTTTAAGAAAGATGGCAAACACCTTATTTATTTCCCAAAGCAAGAGAGGTCTTACCGAAGTATTCTCATGTTAAGGGCTGAAAGCATCCATGAGGGAAGTTGGGCAGGTGTCAGCAGTAATTAGCCACTCATTGGTTGAGTTAATCCATGTCACTGAGCACAGCTCATAACCTTCAGCAAACCTGCGGAGGGTCAACAGTCCACTGTGGGTTTCCAGTCATTTTTTTCTTCTTTTTTGCTCCCTTTAGCTAATGCTAATGTCATAAAATGTTACACTGAAACATGTTTTGGTCATCCCCCCCACCCCCACCCCGCAGCTGTAACTTATAACCTGTCTTTGAAACACAGACATTCAACAAACTTGTGGGAAAATTTAGCCAGTCCACCTTTCACTTGAAGTTATCACAAATACTTTCAGCCACAAAGGAAGGGAAGCTTGTTGTCTGGGATATCCACTACCCGCCATCCTCCTCCTCCACGTTGGCCTTTCCCTTCATCAAGCCTTGTAAACTGGTCCATTTACAGAAGGAAGGCATCACTGTCCTCACCACAGTGGACAGGTAAGGTGGCCGAATAGAGGGGATCCCATGTGTATTGTGGGCCTCTGTTTTATAGACACATATATTTGTAATTAAAATATAATGACATCATTTTCCTCTCTAACTTGTCCCCTGTACCCTCTTGCCCTTTCCCCAATTAATGACATCTTTTAAAAATTGTTGTTACATATGACAGATATAAATATATATAGTCCTAAATAAGTAGATGCAACCTACACAGTCTGTATAGTGTTGCTTGTGTGTGTTACAATTTCAGGGCTGAATACTTGGTATTGGATAGCATTTGAGAGGTTCTTTCCTGGGGAAGACAACTCTTCCAGTTCTCAGCATTTCTTAGTGCTTGGGTTCTCTGTTAAACCCTTTTTTGTAAACAGTTACAGATACACAGAGTGTTTCTGCGGACAGTCAGAGCTAACAAGGAACATTAGTTGCCTCTCAGCAAGAGAACTGAGCACTTTGAGGTTCAGGATAGGAATGCATTCTTTAGGTTTTATTTTGTTCTTGAGTCAGGGTTTCTCTGTGTAGCCCTGACTGTCCTGGGACTAGCCCTGTAGACCAGGCTGGCCTGGAACTCACAGAGCTCTGCCTGCCTCTGCCTCCTGAGTGCTGGGATTAAAGGTGTGCACCACCACCACCCATCAGGAACAGGTTCTTGCTACACAAATTAACAAATTAACAGGATTTTAATATGTTTTATTTTTTACATTTTTTTGGGGGGGGGTGGGCAGGTTCTCATTGAGTAGCCCTGGCTAGCTTGGAATTCACAGAGATCTGCTGCCTTTTGCCTATTCCCCCTGAAACGCTGGAATTAAAGGCATGCACCATTAAAGGCATGCACCACCATGCCTGACCCCTTACAAGACTTTGAAAAAACTCTTGGACACTCGTTGTGTTTAAAAATATTTCTGTGTTATGAAACAAAAATGGACTCCTTCTATGCTAATAAACCTGTTTGGTTCCCCAAAATTTCAAGGGGCTGGAGAGGTGGTACAGCTGTTAAAAGCATTTGCTACTCTGGCAGAAGACTTGAGTTTGGGCCTCAGAGCCCACATGCTGACTCACAACCCTCCATAATTCCACTTCCAGGGGATCCAACACCCTCTTCTGACCTCTGAGGGCACCAAGCATGCATGTGGCACACACCCATCCATGTAGGCAAAACACTTGTGCACATAAAAAAAAATTAAAAACTAAAATATTTTTTTTTTAAGAAGAGGACCCAGATAGCTTTATCATTTTGGTTGCAGAATAACATTTACACATTATGTAAAGATCAACTACAGCTGAACGTTTTGTCTGTTTGACTGTTTGAAACAGGGTCTCACAATACAGCCCAGCCTGGCTGTACACTTGTGATCTTCCTGCGGCGGCCCCCCAAGTGCTAGAATCCTGACTGTTCAGGTTCTGCCACCCCCAGCTTTCCTATCATCGTAAAATCTGTGCAATTCTTGGGTTTTGAGTGCAATTCCTGAAGCCCACGGAGAGGGGGGAGGTGAGAACTGACTTCCGAAGTTGTCCTTTGCCCAGCATGCCTGTGCTCATCTCCTAGTCATTTTGTGAGGATTTCATGTGCGCTACCTGGCACAGGGGGATCCCTACATAAAAGGCTGACCTCATCAGTGCGTTAGAAAAGTTTCCAGAAGTGTGAGCAAACGTCTTATGCCAAGAACCTGCCCTGTGGCTGGTGCCACCTGTGCAATCCGTCTTCACTGTGTCCATTTGACCTGCACTGCTTGGCTCTGGGCGCTGGGCGCTGGGCAGTCCTGGCATCCTGGTGTACCTTTACAGAGAGGTATGCAAGCACCCTTCAGAGGTGTGAGAAGATGCATTAGCTGAGGGTTAGAGCCTCTGATGGCCAGGCCTGGGTTCCGCTCTCCCCAGATGAAGGCACCCCAGCCAAGGGGAGGAAAAGGGCTCCACAAACACTGGGAGAGTTTTGCAGCTTCTCCCCAGCAGAGGGCAGTAGAAGTAGTCCTGGCCAATTACTCTGCCCACCTGCCTTGATTATTAATCAGAAGCCTCATTTAATCACTCTGCGTAACATACTGAGAAAAAAAAATCACTCTTACTCCCACTGTGATTAGAATCTTTTAAAAGCCTTAAAAAAACAAAAAAAAGCTCTCTTGGGCTGGATTGGAGGGCTGGAAATAAAAGCCATTTTGTCACCCGGCACTGGCTTTGCTTGTGATGACAGAGTACGACTTTATGATGATTCTCATACGTCCCACTGCTCAGCCTGTGAGATGAGGGAGGACTATATGATTGTCCTCCATTGTCATCTGTAGTCATATGGCAGTGACTGTAAATCACTGTCACCCACTGTAGTAAGGGACTGACCTTGGTGCCAGAGAACATGCCATTTACTAGAGGCACACCGGGCTCCTGTTTGTTATATACTTACAAGCAAATGATTATTCATTATTTGTCTGAGATTCAGATTACTAGGCCCTGCTGTGCATTTCATCCACTGTACCTGGCAACCTTGGGCTTTGAGCAAGTCTCTTAACTTCTCTTTAGCCTTGGAGATGTAGATGTAGGGTAGGGTGCCAGGAAAAGCAGCCTCACTGGCCATTGTTGGATGGAGCGTGGTAACAGCTGAGGGTCCAGAGCCTGACATGAGCAGATGCTCGATGGGCTCTTGACATTAGTGCTATTTTATAGCCTGTTGTTTTCCTCTATTCCAGCTACATTGTTACAGGTGACATTAAGGGTAACATTAAGTTCTACGATCATACCCTGTCTGTTGTCAACTGGTACAGTAACTTCAAACTAGGTGCCATAAGGACTCTGTCCTTTTCAAAGACCTTAGCAAGTACACCTACAGAGAAGTCCATCCTCCCCACAGACTGCACTTTAAAGGGGGACCTTTTCGTCATCAGGTGAGTCATTAATGAATCTAGTCCCTTGGATGGCCAGAAATGTCCCCTTTCAGTTTTCATGCAGGGCAATGAATATTCCTCTCGTTCCTAGGATACAGAATTGAGAGAGCTGCCTTCCTAGTTTTACAGGTGGCTCTCCTTGGCTGATTGCAATCAGTATTGGAATTTGTGTTTTATTTTGTTTTGTTGAGACAGCATTTCTGTGTAGCCCTGACTATTCTGGAATGAACTCTGTAGACCAGGCTGGCCTCGAACTCACAGAGACCTGGCTGCCTCTGCCTCTCAAGTGCTGGCATTAAAGGTATGTGCCACCACCACTCAGCTTGGTTTTATTTATTTATTTATTTATTTATTTATCTATCTATTTATCTATTTATTTTCCCGGACAGGGTTTCTCTGTGTTGCCCTGGAGATTTTTTTTAATTAGTTAAAGAATTTACTGTTTAGAAGCCTGAGTAACTAGAAGCTGAATGGCTTTTATCCCTGAGTTCTCCTCTCCACTGTGCCCGCAGTCCTTGGCCATAGGGTATCCCTATTTCTGGAGCTTAGCTTGTCCTAGCCACTGAGGTTAAAGGCATTGGGTAATTAATAGCCATAACATTTTAAGACTGAATTATCTGTGAGTCTGCTTAATTACTCTTTCAGTCTTTATAGGCTCATCTGTATGTGTGCACCCAACTCTGTATTTGCATACACAAATGAATATTTGCATGTGTAGATTAGCTAATTGTACAACTGACTGTCCATCTGCATACTTAATGACTCAATTTACATGTGGAAAAGTGGGCTTTTTCACTTGCAAATGGAGGCTGCTGGATGTTGGTGGTATATTTTTGGAGATGTTGGGTTAATAATGTCACCAAATTATAGACGACAAAGGCGGTTCTTGTGCAATCAGGAGCAGAATGACTGGTGTGGCCATTCCCTGCTAACACTGATCCTGTCGGCTCTCTCCTTGACAAACAGGAATTTTATTATCGGAACATTTGATGCCACTGTGTACCACATGACGGCAGATGGTACCAGACTTGAGAAGCTCTTTGTGGAACCCAGGGATGCTGTTTATGCCATCTCCTGCCACCCGTACCAACCCCTCATCGCAGTTGGGAGTGTCTGTGGGATGATCAAGGTGTGGAACTACGAAAAGAAGGTGTATCTGTTCAGCAGGGCTTTTGAGAAGGGGCTTGGCGTCCAGAGTCTGACCTACAACCCCGAAGGTACTTGCGCTCTCACAGGTTCTAGGACACCTACAGAGGCTGTGCCCTGGGCTGTCACCAGCGAGTTGTCCCTCTCCCCAGCCTTGCACACAGCTAAGCCTTAGAGCCCTTCCTAAGGTGTCTCACTTCCTGTTTCCCCTTTTGCTCGTTGCTGCAGAGCAAAGCCTGCCACAGACTCACTCCTGGAATGATGGAAGTCCTTCTTCCATCACCATCCTCAGACTTGTCTTTCCAGGAGCCCTGCTTGGAGCTGGATTCACCGAGGGGACAGTTTATATTCTCGATGCAATGTCGTTAGAAAATGAAAGTCCAGAGCCCTTCAAATATTCCAGAACTAGCATATCTCACGTCAGCTTCTCGCACGATTCCAATTACATGGCGACTGCTGTGAGTTCTCTCTGCTCAGGCCTCTTCCTTACCAACAGAGGGGTGAGGGGTCTGAGGAAAGTGGTGATGATGGTGGTGTGATGGTGGTGGTGATGGTGATGATGATGGTAGTGGTGGTGGTGGTGGTGATGGTGGTGGTGGTGATGATGGTGGTGGTGGTGGTGGTGGTGATGGTGATGGTGGTGGTGATGGTGGTAATGATGGTGATGATGGTGGTGGTGGTGATGGTGGTGGTGATGGTGATGGTGGTGGTGATGGTGGTGGTGGTGGTGATGGTGGTGGTGGTGGTGATGGTGGTGGTGGTGGTGGTGAGTGATGGTATGGTGAGGAGGAGGAAGGTCCTCATGGGGCCACCTCCCTGTGGCATTCCACCCACACACAGCCTGGCCTCTGGCTTGTACACACAGCACTGGTAAGGACCAGAACTGTCCCGGTGACCAGCATGGACGTCAGCTACCCGCTGGTTGCTTTCTGCTACCCTGGCCTGTATCAGAGGTTTTATTTTTTTTAAAGCTAGACAAAGAGTGGGGGGACAAAGGCAAAAAGACCCAGGCTCTGGGCTTTCCCTGGGAGCTGTGTAAGACATGAAGGAAGGGTGGACTGGTGTCACACATGCTTCCTCCCCTGCTACCTTTCCTCACACACCAGTAGCCTCAGTCTCCTGGTCTGTAGAATGGGCACTGCTCTTCCTACTTGTTCTGCTGTGCTAAGATTTACTTGGATAAGATATTCTGCAGGCCAGCAAGTCTGGAAACCACGACGAGGAGTCTCAGATCCTAAAGCCGTGGGACAGCTTCTGCTCTTGCTCCTTTAGGATGTCAGTTTCACCGTGGCCGTGTATATGGTGGTGGTCAAAAATGGACAGAGGGTCTGGGAATACCTGGCGAGACTCCGCTCTCATCATAACACCATTCGAAGCCTCCTGTTTGGGGTTCACCTGGATAGCAACGAGCCCAGGCTGCTGAGCCTCGGGAAAGACAGGTTCCTGGTGAGCTGTCCAGTTGGGTCTGCTGATCACCAGCGCCATGCCTCCCACCCCCACCTCTACCCCACCCCACCCCCACCCTGCCCAATCCACCCCTGGCATCTTATGCAGACCCTGCAGAAAAATGACTACATGGTCAAGTATCACAGACCTCTCCATATTGGCGTCTCTGAGGTGATGGCTTATATGGGAGACCAGCAGGAAGGGGTCAGGGTAGACACAGCTGGGCATCCCTGTTTGCTTTGCATTTGCTGTGATAAAGACACTGAGCAAAACCATCTTGGGGAAGAAAAGGGTTTCCTGGGCTCGTAGCTCACAATCCCTCATTCAGGGAAGCTGAGGCAGGAACTCAAATCAAGTTAGTAACCTAGAGGCAGGAACTGAAGCAGAGACCAGGAGGAGGCTGTTTACTGGCTGGCTCTCCATGGCTCTCTCAGCTGCTTTTTCATACATACCAGGCCTCCCGGCCCACGGTCGCGGCCTCAGGCCATTCTGATGGAGGCAGTTCCTCAAGTGAGGAGGGTCCCTCTGCCCAGGAGAACTCTTTCCTATCAAGTTGACAGAAACTAAAGAGAGCAGTAGAGAAAGTGGTGACCTTATCAGGTCCACTCTGCCACCTGCTTCTGCCCTCCCTCCCTCCCTCCCTCCCTCCCACCTCCCTCCCACCTCCCTCCCACCTCCCTCCCTCCCACCTCCCTCCCTCCCTCCCCTTCTTCAGGCCTGCCTTCCCTTTATTTCATCTGTACTACCGGGAACTTTGAGCAGGCTGCTGCAATCTGGGACCTTCGAGTGCTGAGATTTAGGCTTGAATTAGTTCTTGGCATAATGGAAAAGGGCGTGGCAGGAGTTAATCCATCGTCAGAGTTCAGGTTTGGGGTTCCTTGGCTTACACTCAAGTTTTCACTCCACCATTTCTTGGCTTGTGTCCCTGGGCAGGCCACTCTGAATGCCTCTGGTGCCTGCTCATGAGCCTGTGTGCACTGCAGGGACTTGGGGATCCATAGGCATGATGGTTTACGGCGCTGAGCCCACCATCTTGCTCACTGTGGGTGCAGAGTCAGGGAACTCCCCTTAGAGACCCAGCAGGTTACCATACACCCAAGGCTTGCAGCTTCTCAGTGAAGTTTGTCTTCCAGCTGGGTCAGTGGTTCTCAACCTGTGGGTCTCAACCCTTTTGGGGGCTTAAATGGCCCTTTCAAGGGGTCATCTAAGACCACTGGAAAACACAGATTTACGTTATGATTCATAACAGTAGCAACATTATAGCAATGAAGTAGCAACAAAAACAGTTTTATGGTTGGGGTCACCACAACATGAGGAACTGTGTTAAAGGGTCACAGCATCAGGAAGGTTGAGGACCACTGAGATGGATCATCATGCATCCCCCTTGGTCCTCTGCAGATAGAGTATAATCTTATCAAGAGCTACAAAGACCACCTGGAAGTCTTGGACATTCACCGAACAGACCAGGGGAGCTACCCCACCTGCATGATCTGGTACCCGCCGCTCACCAAGGAGCTCTTCCTGCTCATCTGCAACAGCTGCTACAAGGTGAAGCTCTTCAATTCCACCACGAAGATGTGCAGGTGAGTGCCAGGGCACTCCATGAATGTGCTGGTTACCCCTGTTTCTCAGCCCAGGGTGGTGACAGCTTGTTGGTAACATCACCCCTTTCCCTTCTCAGAGGGAGAAACTGAGTCACAGGTAACACAAGTCAGGTTCACCCAAAGGCACACAGTGGCGCCATGCCTGAAGAAGGTTGCCAGCCTGGGGCTCTTGCTTTAAGCCAGGTACCAGGGAGGTAAGGGACCTGGAGCTTGGTGCCCATGTATTTCTGAAGGACACAGCCCTGGAATCTGGAAGTCACTGGTGTCTTAAAACCAACCATCCTTTTCCACAGAGGAGAAAAACAAAACTCAAGCCATTCACTTAATAGAACATGCCAATTTGATTTTCGTTGTTTTTTATTTTGAGAGAGGGTCTCACTCTGTAGTCCTGGCCTCTGCCTCCTGAGTCCTGGGACCTCAGGTGTGAGTACCACGCCCAACATGCTCAATTCTTCTCATGTGGCTTCTCAAAGGAGATTGGAGTCCAGCTGATCGAATTCATTTGTTCATTCCTTACATGGGCTGGGTAGTGTGGGGTGGTGAAGGTGTCTACAGACCACCAGGGGGTGACACTTCAGTGATGGGGACAACACACTAGTGAGTAGGCGGGGGTGGGGGTGGGGGTGTGGGGTGGCAGTGCTGTAAGGACTGGGAAGACTGATCGAGAGGGAATTCCTGGGGCTGCTGTCTTCAGAGTACGGGGTGGGGGGGGGTTGTCATAGGGAGAGAGGAGGAAATCGGAATACGGGACATTTGGGGGAAAACCCACAGACAGGAGCTGCAAGAACAAGGTGTTTGATGTCTGAAAAGTTCTTAGAAAGTCGTTTGGTTGGAGTGGAATTGGGGAAGGTGAGTGGAGAGGATGGGGAGGACAGCCCACAGGGTGACTGACTCCGGCGTGGAGATGAGAGTGGCCTGAAGGCGGCAGGGAAGGGTCAGGTGCTGGGTGCATCTGGACAAGGCAAGTTTGAGACCACATGTGACATCACAGAGTTAGACTCCTGATTCTGGGTGGAGGCTGAACCGGAGTCCAGAGCAGAGGGCGTTAAAGCCGTGAGGCAGTAGACCCTGGAGGGGAAAGGTAGATGGAGGTTGCAGACCATACCCAGGGCCACCATGACTGCATTTGAGAAGCATATCTTCCTCCTTGCAGAGGTGTCCTTCTGTTGGGTGTGGCCATAGGTTCTGCAAGACCTGTGGGTCCCAGGTTTCCTTCCCCTTGGATACTGACCTTGTGTGCTGTCCCTGTAACAGGACCACTGCCTTCGGCCTCCCAGAGCCTTGAAAATTACTGTCCCTCTGAGGTTTGGGGAGGCTTCATAATTTCTGGACAACCATTAGGCAGGCAGGCCAAGACTCAACCCTCGGCTCTTGCTCTGACTCGGCCCTATACTAGGGACTGCTCAGAGGATTAGACCCTATGGGGGGAGAGCCTCTGCCAGGGATTGGCTGCCAGTGGATATGGCTGGAAGATGGAGGCAGAAGGAATGTTTGATGGGGGAGCCAGCAGCAGCATGCCCAAGCTGCTGGAGGAAGAGCAGAGTTTTAATGGGTTGGTGGTTTTATTTTGTTTCAGAGACAGGGTCTTGCTGTGTAACCCAGTCTCCCAGGTACTGCACCAGGATTGCAGGCATGCACCAGGATTGCAGGCATGAGCCACCATTTCTGGCATGTTCAAACCTCGAAGTGCATCTCAGATGGGATTTTCAAAGCCTTAGGACACACTCCCACCCCAAGATTATCTTCCTCTTTGGTTTGGTTTTGTTTGTTTTTGTTTTGTCTCTCTTTTTGAGGTGATGTCTCATTCTGTGGTTCAGGTTGGCTTTAAACTTACAGTGAACCTCCTGCCTCACCCTCTCAGGTGCTGGGGTTCCCCCTCCCCACTGCACCCAGACCAAGAACAGTTCTTTTCCAGAAGGCATGAGGAAAAATGGCAGAGCCCTTACATCGTAGGGCAGGAAACAGACTCTGTCCCGATGTTTAGAACCCTGGAGAGAACGGGTAACGAGCTTCAGCATGCTCTTCATGCTTCCTCTTCAATGGACACATGCTTCTGGGCATGGAACATCCCTGGAAAGGCCTAGTCAGTCCTAGAAACTGAATCCAGGGTAGGAGACAGCATGCCTCAGGCTTGCGGCTCTCCTCAGCAGTTGATCACCAGTGAAGAGAGACTGAGGTACTGTGTGGTATGTGTGTGTATGTGTGTGTGTGATGTGTGTGTGTGGTGTATGGTGTATGTGTGTTTGGTGTGTATGTGTATATGTTTAGTGTGTGTGTGTGTTCATGTTTTTGCCCTTGGTCACCCATCGGAAGTTAGTTCAAAGCATCTTTTAAGAAAATAGTGTACAGGGCTGGAGTGATGGCTCAGTGGTTAAGAACCCTGGGTATCAATTCCCAGCATTCACATGGTAGCTTTCTACTGTTTATAACTTCAGTTCCAGGGGATCTGACACAGATAAACATGTAGGCAAAACACCAATGCACATAAAATAAAAATAAATAAATCATTTAAATAAAATATGATAATCTATTTTTTTTTAAAGAAGAAAATAGTGTATAAGGCTGGAGAAAATGGCTCCTCAGGTAAAGAAGTGCTTGCCACATGAGCCCAAGCATGGAGAACTGACCCCTGGAAGATGCCTACATGGCATGTGGGCATTGCCCAACCCCATCAAGAACACACAATAACAAAAAATGAACTTAAAAACAAAACAAAACAAAAATTCCCATCACTTCTCAGTCTCTTGGCTAAACTCAAGTGTAGGAAATAACTTAGCAAGGTTGGAAGTCAAATTCACACAGCATTTATAAATGAAGGGCATATATATTGCCTTCTAACTGCTTCCTTCTCCCGTATTTCCAGAACAGTCCTATCCTTTCAAACTAAGAGCCCTTGTATAAGGCATTTCTTGAGTTAGAGAAATAGTAAGCCTGGTAAACCACAGTTCAGTTGGGGAAGCATTGCCTTCTCACGGTGAGTCTAAAAAGAATTGTAAAATGCATTTTAAAACGTCTGAGAGGACACAAAGAGGCGGCTTACAGAAGGCGGCCAGTAACCATAGGGGCAAGGGCTCAGCAGCCTCTCTCAATGAGGCAGATGCAAGCAAGACATCACTTTTTACAAATGGGATTAGTAAAGATAAAAGTGATTGATGGTGCCAAGCCTTGGCAAGGGTGTGGGGAAGCAGGCTTGCTCGTCCAACCACTGGTGGGGGTGTAAATTGGCGTAACCTTTGGGGAAAGCGATTTGTCATCCTCTGTTAAATTTTATACCCTCTGACTTCTAGGAATAGAGCCTGCAGAAGTGCCCACACACTTATGCCAAGACATAAGTAAAAGGATCTCTTGTATGGAAATGCGGTTTGATAAGGTGTTAGTTAAATGATGTCTGTACACCAGAATACAATGATGTTTCTAGCAAACAGGGAAAAAGATTAAGATAGCTGTCTATGTATGTGGTAACATGGCAATGTCACCAAGATGTAGTAAGAGATAAAGCAAATCTCCAAATAAGCATGGATAGTATATTCTCTCTTCCTATGAAATCATGTGTATATAATCTTGGTGAGTAATATGTACCAGACAATCACCTGTGCCTTTCTTGGAGCAGGATTCAGCATTGTAGAATGTCGATATTTTATTTTAAAAATGTCTAAAGGTTTGAACTTTTTTTTTTTTTTTACAATGAATATGAAATGTCTTAATCAGAATGAAGAGATAATACTTTTTTCAAATTGGCAGACAGGGTGACTGTCACTGGCTAATAATTATGTACTCTGTGCCAGAAACTGTTCTGAGCATTTTTTTTTTTTTACTGTAGTCAGTAAATTATGCAGTTCAAGGAAGCATCTGTCATGCCCAAAGGGGACCTGGTTCCTGGGCTGGCGATTTGTACAATGCTTGCCTGCCATGTACAAAGTCCTGGGTTCAATACCTAGGACCTAACACAAGGCATGGCAGCACTTGGGAGTGAAGACAGGAGGACCAGAAATTCAAAGCTATTTCCTCAGCTATGTAGTGAGTCTGAGGTCAGCCTGGACCACATGAAAAAAGAGGAAAGGAAAAAAAGCAAAATAAAACAAAAAACTGAACTCTGGTTCCCATCAGTAGACACTTCCCAGCCCTGCATCCTTGTGTGACTGCTTCTGTATTATGAACTCATCTACTCTGCACATGTGAGTATAAGTTCATCTTCCTATAGATGGAATCACACACCACATGACCTCTGTGTCTGGCTTCTTTCACTTAACATGTTCTCGAGACTCACCCACTTTGTGATGTGAGCTAGTGCTTTGTTGTTATGGCTGAGGGTTGGCCCTATCCTGCCGGTCCGTGCGTCCTCTGATGTCCATAGACATTTGCATTGTTTCCATTTTGCCGTGGTCGTGAGCACTTGGGTGTAGACAGATGTGTATAATTTGTTGAATGGCCCTAGGATTGGCGTTTCCACAGCCCCCACTCACCACCAAGGACAAAGGTCCCGTCTTTTCATAGCTTGTCCCTGGACTCTTGCCCATGTCTCCCTGCCTCTGCCCATTTGCCAGCATGTGGAAGGACCTCAGAAAAGGCATTAGCTGATACGTTGTCTACCTGGTGGGCAATGTAGTGTTCCAAAGTGCTGAGCCTCCCGTGGAAAAAGCTCACCTGGAAAACTGTCCCTGCCTTTGTGTCCCCTTGCTCTGCCTGCTGTCCCTTTCCCATGCTGCCTGTCTTCACCTTTTTCATCCTGATGCCCATTCTCCTGCTATCCAAGCTGGTCCTGCTGACTCTGATCCATCATTCTAATCACGGCTGGCTCTCCTCCCCCCCCCCCCCAATGCCCCACGACTCCGGGAATACTTCACTCCAGACCCTGGGACTCAGTGTCATCTCCTCACTTCTTACCTCACAACTGCTCTTTGTCTCCTGTCCCTGCCAGTCCGTAGCCTCAGTGGCAGGGGCTAGACTTTGCACATTCCTGCATCATGACTACGAACCTCATGCCTGGCATGAGGAGGAACTCTTACAAGGCTGATGTGATAGGGTCAGCTGACTTTTGTCCAGCACTGACACCCAGCAAAGGGACCTCTCCTTAGAGAAGGCCTCTGTCCAGGGAAGCAGCTGAGATTAGAGGAATCCAAGCTGGGTACAGTGGTGTGTGCCTGCAGTTCCTGTTAGGCAGGAGGCTGAGGCAGGAGGCACTCTTGAAGCTAGCCTGAGCAAAATACCAAGATCTTAAAAAAAGAAAGTGGAGCCAGTGAGCTGCATCAGTGGGTAAACATGGCTGCTGCCAAGCCTGAGGACCTGAGTCCAATCCCTGGGATGGAAGGAGAGGACCACCTCCTGTAAGTTGCACACACCACCACACATGAACACAAAGGTGTAATAAATTTTAAAGTTGAATTAAAGAGGCCTGGCCAGTGCCACTGCAGCTTGATTCGCGGATGGATTTGGCGACCTGTGTGACACATAGACCTGTATTTAGGGACGTCTGAGGACTCAGATGTTTGCCTGCACCCTGCCAAGGCATGCCGTGTCCTCACAGGCTTTGTTCTTGTCAGTTATTCACATACTGTTCCTTAGGGCATAATGTCTAGGGGGCATGGCACCACAGCCACTGGAAGCGCTCTTCACAGTCGGTTCCCCTCAAGTTCCCTAGAGCATTTATTGTTGGGAGGCAATGCCCGTGTTTACAGCAGCCGTTAGCAGCCCTCGAACGACAGGTTCTTATGTAGGGATTAGCTGAGTGACAAGACGGGAAATTCAGAATCATTACTACATAAGGAGTCCAGTGTGAGGGTGCGTGCCTGTAATCCCAGCACCAGGAGGCTAAGGCAAGGAGGAGTGTAAGTTCTAAGACTGTGTCTCAAAAGCAAACCAAACAAAACCCCAAACCACATGGCACAAGTACAGTACTGCCAATTCCAGCCTTTTTTATTTTTATTTTTTGTTTTCGAGGCAGGGTTTCTTTGTGTAGCCTTGGCTGTCCTGGAACTCACTCTTGACCAGGCTGGCCTCAAACTCACAGAGATCCACCTGCCTGTGCCTCCCAAGTGCTGGGATTAAAGATGTGCACCAGCACCTCCCAGCACCAATTCCAGTCTTAAAACATACATTAAAGCTTATGGCGTTTACACTTTTTCTTCCTGTCCTGTCCAGAAAGACGCTCCTGGGACCGGCTTATGGGTCTCCTATAGAGCACACACAGGTGCTCCCCGTGAGATCCACACTAGAGCTGCAGAAGCGGTACTTGGTGTTCATCAATAAAGACAAGGTAGGCTTCCCCTCTCTGCCCCTGCAAGATGACTGGGCCAAGTCCAAAGCCTGGGAGACCCCGGGCTGGGGAGACGGCTAGCCAGGGTGGGTGCTCGCTGTCTCATCTGGTGACTTGAGTTTGAGCTTTGGAACTGGGTGAGAGGAGAGACTGACTGCCTTGGGAAAGTTGTCCTCTGGCTTCCAAATGGGCACTGTGGCATGAATGTCCTTTCCCAAATAAATACACTTAGTAATAAGAGAGATGATAAGACCCGTGGGTCCTTAGTTCTGCTGCACAGAATTACAGCCGTGTGGTCATTGGCCAAACTGAAAATTGCCACATATTAGTGAAAATGGCTTCTGGGAAGCATTTCTTTTTGTTTTCATGTGTGTATGTGTGTCTGTTAATGCACACACGTACACGCACGCCCTTGTAAATATGTACCACAGTGTGCATACAGCGGTCAAAGGACAACTTTTAAGAGTCAGTTCCCTCCTTCCACCATGTGGCTCCTGGAGGTAGAACCCAGGCAGGCCTGGCAATAAGTGCTTTCACTCACTGAGCCATCTCACAGGCCCCTAGGAGACATTTTTTAATGGAGTTCTCGGAGTTTCCCAGTGAAAACTTATAGCCTTCCAAATTATGCTTTTTTTTCTTCTTATTGGCCTGGAAAAATCTAATTTACATGGAAGACACACAGATCCATTGTACCTAGCCATGTTAAAATTGACTCTGACAGATGGTTCCAGATGTGTGTGTGGCTTGGGTATGTCAGGTTATTGAGAGACTCCCCAAGTCTGAATAGCTAATTACACTGCCTCTCTAGGTTGGACTCCAGATCTTACCCGTTGATGGCAACCCACACAAAACTTGTGCTATCATTTGCCACCCAAATGGAGTGGCTGGAATGGCTCTTTCCTATGATGGCTGCTATGCCTTCACAGCAGGAGGCCAAGATTGCTCAGTGGTACAGTGGGAAATCAACTTAAGGTATGTGAGGGGACGTAACCTGGCTCGATAAGGAAGTATAGCCATCTTTTTAAAAAGTGTATGTGTGTGTGTGTGTTCACGTTAGTATGCACACTCATGCATGTGGGTGCCTCAGAAGGCCAGAAGAGGGCATTGGATCTCCTGGAGCCGGAGTTGTGCAATTGTGAGCCACCTACATGAGTACAAGCACTTATAACCACTGAGCGATTGCTCCAGCCCTTAGACCCCTTCTTTTCATTCAGTTGCAATAGACAGTTAGAGCCCTGCTACATGCCCCATGCTAATCATACCTGGCTCTCAGGATGCTTTCTGGTGATATTACGTGCACCACATGGACCTCATGGACCATGCACCACATTTCCAGCTTGGAAGGTGGGAGTGTCCCTGGCTCCACCTGCTCCCTGAAGTATTCCTCAGTATCTGTACAAACTCATGGTGGCCAGAGAGACCAAGGCCAAGCCTCCAAAGTGGGCAATACAGAAACAGTAAGGGTGAATTCAGAATCTGCTGTCAGTTGGCTCCTCTGCCCCTCCCTGCCCTAAGAGGAGACCTGCTCTGCCTGTAGAGAGGCAGGAAAATGCTTGGCTTGTACATCAGAGTAAGACTATAGGTACTTTGAGGTCAAAGAGCTAAGGGTTTCAGTATAGTTTGGAGTTTCTGCTTTCGTATCTGGGTGGTTTTCTTGACATCGCTAATCCTTATAGTCTGTCTGGGAAGTGGGAGGCAACTACTTTTAAAGGGTCCTATGTGGATCAGATGGGTTGACAGAGGTGAATGCAGTAACCAATCGATAAGTTAGGGCATCCTTCCTTTCTTTTCTTCCTAAGAAGGGCATTTGTGTATGAGATGGTACAAGGTGACCCTCTCATCCATGCACACGCAGTGATCTGAACCAGGGTAGAGTCAGGAGTAGGCAGCAAGATCACATTCCCATGACCCTGCAAGCTTCAGGAGCAGGCGGCAGAGGCGACTTCCTCCCTCAAAAAGCATCCTGATTCATGGATCCCAGTAACATCTGCCCCTGCCATCTGCCAAGTGCTCATCTTTCTCTTTATGGCAGATGTTAACGCTTTCCTTCTTACCCTGAACTTGAGTGAAAACAACTGGCAAAATCTGTTTTGGTGCCATGATGGCTTCAAATTGCAGGTGCAACTCTGCCTTTTGCCTCTGCCTTCTGAGTGAGCTGATCCAGGGGACTTGGGGACTTGGAAACTGGAGGTGAGCTAGTTCTCCATCCAGAAGCTCTTCCCCAACAAGTCCAATGTGTCACCCACTTGCCACCTGCAATCCTTGGGCCAGTGGCATGCTGGAGGGGGGATGAAGTCTCCCCCTTTTGATTTTTGTCCTCAGTGGTTGTGGGATCTAGTAGGGATTTCTAGTAGCTTCCCTATGCTTGGCCAGAATCCAGGCTTCTGAGAATTTCAATTTAATCTGTTGTGGGGACAAAGGATCATTATAAACTAATTAGCACTTTATTGCTGTTTCTGGTGACTTAATATGTTCAGCATTTCACTAATGGAAAGAAGTGTAAAAACCCCAAACAAGTAAACAATACAATTCTCTCCCAGGGCCCAGGCTGTAGCTTAATTGGTAGAGTGCTTGCCTAGCATGCAATAAGCTTTGGGTTCCATTCCCAATGCATAAACGTGTGTGCTGACTAGTTTCATGTCAGCTTGACATGGGCTAAAGGCATCTGAGAGGAGGGGCCTCAATTGAGAAAATGCATCTGAGAGGAGGGGCCTCAATTGAGAAAATGCCTCCATAAGGTCCGGCTGTACACAAGTCTGTAGAGCATTTTCTTTATTAGTGATTGATGTGGGAGGGTCCAGCCCATTGTGGGTGGGGCCACCCCTGGGCTGATCCTGTATTTTTTTTTTTAAGATAAGTTTTCAATCCAGGCATTGGTGGCGTATGCCTTTAATCCCAGCACTCAGGAGGCAGAGGCAGAGGCAGGCAGATCTCTGTGAGTTTGAGGCCAGCCTGGTTTACAGAGTGAGTTTCAAGACAGGCTCCAAAGCAATACAGAGGAATCCTTCCTGGTGGTAGGGTGGTGGTGGTGGTGGTGGTGGACAGAAACAAAACAAAACAAAAGATAAGGTTTCTTTGTGTAGAACAGGCTGGGTTCAAACTCACAGGGATCCACCTGCCTCTGCCTCCCAAATGCTGGGACTAAAGGCATGGACTACCACTGCCCAGCTGTCTTGGGTTCTATAAGAAAGCAGGCTGAGCAAGGCATTAAGCATCCATGGCCTCTGCATGAGCTCCTGCCTCCAGGGTCCTGTCCTGTTTGAGTTCCTGTCCTAATTTGCTTTAATAAGGAACGGAAGTGTTAAGCCACATAAATTGTTCTTCCCTGTGTTTCATCATAGCAATATCTGCCCTAAGACAACCCGTCATGGTGGCACTTGCCGATAACCCCAGAACTTGGGAGGTGGAGGCAGGAGGATCAGAATATCAAGGTCATCCTTGACTTTATATTGAGTTGAAGGCTGCATAAGACCTTCTCTAAAGAAAAAGAAGTTTTGTACTAAATTTACTGATGACAGCACTATAGAGTAAAGTGAAACTGAAAAACCTCCCACCTCCATCCTGCTCAAATAAAAGCAGAGACCAGAGTCAAGTCCCAGCTTGGTCAGACCGAGTAGCACATGACAGTAATCCTAGTCCTTGGGAAGTAGTGGCAGTTCAAGATCATTCTCGGCTACATAATGAAGTCAAGGCTAACCTAGGGGGTTTCAAAAACATAAAAGACAACAACAAAGATAATGCTAGGCTATAACTCCTCCGAACCCCAGCTTTTTCATGCAACAGATAGGACACCATCCCGTGCCTCCTTTGGGGACCATCTCCCAGGCGCTTGCCTGATGCCACTCATGATGTGCCTGGTGTCTCTAGCTTCAGCCCCTTGCCTAGAAGTACCATGCTATCCCTGAGCACACACATGTTCAATAAATGCCACTTTCCAGGGCTGCAGAGTTGGCCTAGCAGTTAAGGGCACTTGTTGTTCTTGCAAAGAGCCGGGCTTTGATTCTCAGCACCCACTCACCACTTCCTCAGGCACTGGGCATGCATGTGGTGCATGTACACACACATGCAGACAAAGCACACATACACACAAAATAAAATAAACCTGAAAAATAAAGAAGCCGGGCCGTGGTGGTGCACACCTTTAATCCCAGCACTTGGGAGGCAGAAGCAGGTGGATCTCTGTGAGTTTGAGGCCAGCCTGGTCTACAGAGCTAGTTCCAGGACAGGCTCCAAAACAATACAGAGAAACCCTGTCTCGAAAAAACAAACAAATAAGTAAATAATAAATGTCATTGCCCTTCTATGCCCCAGTGGCCTCTCTCTCTTTTTCTCTCTCCCCTCCCTCTCTCTCCCTTCCTCCCTCTCTATGTGTGAGTATTGAGACCCCAGTTTAGGCACACGGAGGCTTTTGGGAAGGTGGCTGGAGTGTCCCGTGTCTGCTTGGCTGGCAGGACCTGCAGCAGAGCCACTGGCTCACTCATGGCCCTCACTCAGCCTTCTTCCTGCCTAGTTCTGCCCCAGTGGCCTCCTCTGCAGCTTCATCAGATTGCAGCTCTTGCCACAGACAGAATGAGTCTCTTTCTTTGCTCTGGTTAGAGAAATTCGGCTCCTCTAGGATCAGTGGACAGTTTCAGGAGTGGGGCGCATGCAGCACAATGCTGACCTAGAAAGTTGGGCCGCCCTTGAAAGCCACTTACATTTCCAGCCTTGCTCTTAGGGGTTCCTGTTGGTGACAGGCTCCCATGTCACCTCTGGTCCTGATGCCCTTGCTCTAGGCAGCAAAGCTCTGTCACCCTTTGGGTCAGGAGCAGGCCAGGTTTGGCCTGGGGACCACAGAGAAGGAACAGCCTAGCAAATCACCTGCCTTCTTAGCTTCCTGTCAGAGCTGAGAAGCAGGGTGAAGATTGGGTGCTGACAGAGAGGATCTCAGGCTCGTGTGGAGAACAAATGCATCAGGCCCTCCCCTGGACCCCGCAACAGGGCACAGACATTTTGTGGCTCTTATGAGAAGAGTACAGACATGTCAGTCCTTGGCACGCACGGAGCTGCTCCTCTGAGCTTGGCCCCTTCCTGGGTGTTTTACAGTCTTCTTGACTTCATCCTCACAGCCATCCTGGGAGAAAAGTGCTATTCTTACCCCCACATGCAGGTCACTAAACTTCCAAAGGGCCTATTGATAGCTCAAGTGACGATACCCGAGAAAAATGAAGGGTCTGCAGCAAATCCTTCATGTGTGTTTCCTTATTTAATTTTTATGGCAGCCCTGTATGACCCCACCCATTTCACAGATGAGCAAACTGAGCAGAGCTGGGTATTTCTCATGGTATCACAGCTTGCAAGTGGCATAGTCAGGGCTCACAAGCATGGCCCTGTGACTCCAGTTCTGGGTCCTTCATCTCTCCACCAAAGGTCTTCACTGCAGTGGGTTCTAATTCACTGAAATAGCAGAAATCCAGTGACAGTGAGAGGCTTTTTTTTTTTTTTTTTTTTTTTTTAAATACAGTAACTTTAGATTGTTTGCCTTTTGTATGAGGAAAAGTCAGTTGATCTCATGCAAAAGTAGGTTTCCTTCCCATTCAAAGGAACTATTTTTGGAGACTCTGACCCTGTGCTGGAGAAGAGAGGGGTATTTTTATCCTCTTGGCATCCTCGAGCTTTTCTGGAAGCAATTAGCGCTGGCGAAACACCTCCACAGCACCCATCCTTTTGGCCCTGGTCGGCCATGCTCAGCTCAAGAGGATTGAGGTCTGGGACTAGAGCCTCCCCCTACCCTGGGAGAGCTGTGGTCCCCAAAGATTACAGACAGATTACCAGGCACTTGCCCTGTCATCAGAATGAATCTAGCACCATAATTAAGGTGGGTGCTCTGTATGGCTGTGTTCCACACTGGAGACTGAATTTTCTGTCTATGGCTTCATCACTGAGGGACAGAGACCCTGCAGAGGCCACCATCTGTGTGACGACTCCATGCCTTCATGCAAGAGTGCTTCCTAATGGTGATGTCTCTCATTGTTCCAGTGCCCTGGATGCAGCTGTTTCTCTTGGGGGTGAAGACTTGACCCCATTCTACGGTCTGGTGTCTGGTGGCAGAGAAGGAAAATTCTACAGGGTAATTGTCATCAGACATCTCCCAGGGCCAACATTAGAGACTAGCCCACTGTGCCTTCCACAAAGCCCCTCCCCCTACTGAACTTAGAATACACTTTCTAGAAAATGTCCCCTCCTCGGATGTGTCTGACTGGAATGCATCGTGTCTGTCTGGTCCCACACAGGAACTGGAGGATTACTTCTACTATTCTCAGATCCGCAGTCAAGGCATCGATACGATGGAGACCAGGCAGGTGTCGGAGCACATCTGCCTGTCGGAGCTCCCTTTTGTCATGAGAGCAATTGGCTTTTACCCATCAGAGGAGATGGTAGGTAGACGCACTGGGTATTTATATCAAGTGTATCCGGGAATAGTCACTGCAGGCCAGCCTGGAAGCATGCCATTTTTTTTTTTCTGAAGTAAATAGATTAGCAGGAAGAATTTGAGGACTTCAGATGAACTGAGTAACTGACTAGAGGTAAAGATGTGCCCGTTCCCCAGAGATTCCTTGTGGATGTGTGTGTTACACATGGGCCTTTATAGCAGTTGCTGCCTGTACCCTTCCCACCCCACCCCACTTTTGTTTTCTTTGAGCCAGGTCTCTGTGTAACCCTGGCTGTCCTGGAACTTACTCTGTAGACCAGGCTGGCCTCGATCTCACAGAGATTGACCGGCCTCTGCCTTCTGAGTGCTGGGACTAAAGGCATATGCCATTAAACGTTTTGGGTTGAGGATCTAGCTCAACAACAGAGCTCTTGTCTGGCATGCCTGAGGCCCTAGGTTCAATCCCCAGGTCCAGGGGCAAACCAATGAAACTTCTCACGGAGTACGTTCCAAATATATTCTAATACTCTCATGCTGAGTAGCCATGATAGGGAAGTATGGAAAGTCTTTGTTGTCCATAGTCACGTGATCAGACTTCCGCAGTAACGACACTGCAGTCCACAGTGAATGGCCTTGGATCCCAGCAGAAGTTTTCATGAGCACTCACTCAGTGGTGCTTTGTAGCATGGTAGCATTCGTGGCAAGACCCAGGAATGTGTGTTCAGAACCAAGGCTGATGAGTGCTGCTGCCATGAGCGCCTTAGATTGATTGCAAGTTTGACTTTGAACATATTTTCAGTTGTTATGTCTTCAGAAAAAAAACATTTGCAGTTGCAAGCTTGTTGCGGTCCCCCCCCAATTCATCGTGTGACCCCATATGGTGGCTGCACCCCATATCTCTAAAAAGATTATTTATTTCCATTTAATATGTCTGGGTGTTTTGCCTGCATGTATGTTTGTGTGTACCATGTATGTACCTGGTGCCCATGGAGGCCAAAGAGGGTGCTGGGTCCCCTGGAACTGGAGTTACAGACAGCTGTGAGCCACCATGTGGGTGCTGAGAACTGAACCTGGGTCCTATGGAAAGGCAGCCAGTGCTCTAACCACTGAGCAGCCCCTCCAGCACTAAACTTACAATTTAAGAAGCAGAGAGTCAGGGAATGAACTGATGAGCAGAACTTGGCATGTGACTGGTCGAGGACTAGAACCCTGGGCATCAGGGCGATGATGTGTGCAAGGCAGGGAGCACATTACCGGGTCTGTAGAGAGAGCTTGTTGGTTGTGTTGTCCTTCTGTATAGTTGCTGTTAACCTATCGTGTGTTCTTGGGGCAGCTCTGGGAGTGGGGCGGATGCTGGTCCTGACTCTGTAGCTCAGCTATCAGTCTGACCACATGGCAGGAATCCCCAAACCCTAACAGCTCTGGACAGGGACAGGAGCCCACGTGTGTACCTCGCAGGATCTGCTCTAAATATAACTTACAGGGTTTTCTTTCCAAGTTGAAATGTGAGACATTCTCATTGCAGAAGATCTGGGAAAGATAGCAGGTAGAATGAAGGAAGAGTTACTTATAATTCTACCACCCCGCCTTGACAGTTACTACTGTTTTGCTGGTGTTCACACATTTATACAGTGAGTACTCAGCACACTGAATATATATGACTGTCTTGTCTCATAGTGGATGATGTGTCATGAGCACTTTCCATTTGGCTAGAAATTCTCTAGAAAAAAATTTGTTCTTCAGATACTTGTTGTGTTTGTGTGTGGTGTATGCATGTAGGGGTGTGGAGGTGTTGTCGATCACCTTTTAAAAAAATATTTATTTATTTTTGTTTTTTTCGAGATGGGATTCTCTGTGTAGCAGCTCTGGCTGTCCCGGAACTTGCTCTGTAGACCAGACTGTCCTCAAACTCAGAGAGATCCCCCTGCCTCTGCTTCCCCAGTGCTGGGAGTAAAGGTGTGTGCTACCTCTGCTGGCTTAAAAATGTATTTATTGGGTGTGTGTGCATACCGTGATATGCCAGAGGACGACCATGTGTTGCTGGTTCTCTCACGTTCTCTGGGGACTGAACTCAAGTTGCCAGGCTTGCTTTGTTGAGTGGCCGTTACTTTTACCTTTTTGAGTCCTCTCATTAGTCCCCAGTCTTATTTATTTGTTTACCTTTTAAGTGTTATTTATTTTGGTAACAGGCCTCTCACTGAGGCTGGAGCTCACACTCTCCTGGGTACATTCACTGGCCAGTGAGCCCCCAATGTGTGCCTGTTTCTGTGCTCGCCCAGCACTGGAGTTTCAGCTGCACCCCGCTCTTTACATGGGTCCTTACGCTTGTTTATCTGGAAAGCTCTTTACCCACCAAGTCATCTCGGTAAGAGATATATTTTTTGTTGAGGTGTAGATCAATGGTAGTGCACTTGCCTAGTGTGTGTGAGGCCTTGAGCTCGACAGCTAATACAACACACACATAAAAAAAAAAAAATTAATTTCGGAGCTGGAGAGATGGCTCATGGTTAAGAACACTGACTCTTTTCCAAAGGACCCAGGTTCAATTCCCAGCACCCACGTGGTAGCTCAGAGCCATCTGTAATGCCAGTTCCAAGGGACCTGTCACCTTCTTCTGGCCCCTGTGGACACTGCACACACACACAGTGCATAGACATACATTCAGATAAGCCTTCATACACCTAAATAAAGTCACAAAAATATTTGTATAACTTTTTTAAATATAGAAAATAGGACTATAGGCTAAGGATATACTGCATGGTCGAATCCTTAACTACCATGCACCAATCCTTGGCTTCAATCCCCAGCACCATAGAACCTGGCTATGCTGGCTTGTACTTGTAATCTCAGTACTTGGGATGTGGAGGTAGGAGCTTCAGAAATTCAGGGTTATCCTCGGCTACATAGCAAATTTGAGACTAGCCTGCCTTAAAAACCAAAACAACAACAAAATCAATCACTTAAAATTTTGGTGAATTTTCTTTCTACTGTTTATTTTTAAACAAAGAATTGACATTCTGTGGTATAAATATGTACCTATATGTCTGCCAGCATTAAACTGTGCTTATACATATGCAGGGCATATGCACATGGGGGCATGTTTACGCATATAGCGTCAGTATTCTAAGTTTCCACTGTTGTGTGAGCTTGGTGGTAAAAATTCCTCAGTGATGTGCCTTTAAGAGGAAGGGACCCAACTGGCTCCTCCCCCAGCATCTCTTACACAGCTGCCCTGAGCATCTCTGTATGTCTTGTATACTTTTCTATTTCCATGGTTCAGAGTCCATGTTGAGTGACTGTTAGCTGAGAACATGAGGTTTTAGGCTCTGTTGCCAGCCAGATACAGGAAGGAGCTCCCTGTCCAGAACCCTGGCCACGACCTGGTAATGTGGGCCTGTCATCACTGTCCATGAGTGCATATTGCCCAGGCTGCCAGGCCTAGACACTCACCCTTCCTAGAGTCTGAGAGAGGTTCGGATCACCTTCACCATGGGGACTTGAGCAGGGAGGAGTGGTTCCCAAATGAGACTCTGCCTAGGTCCTGGGATGTAGCTCAGTGGAAGAAGTCTTGCCTGCCTCTGTATGGGACAATGGTCGCACCCACATCCAGGGATTACTCAGGAGGCAGAGGTAGGCAGAGCTCTGTGAGTTCGAGGCCAGCCTGGTTTACAGAGCGAGCTCCAGGACAGGCTCCAGAGCTACAGAGAAACTCTGCCTCAACCCCCCCCCCCAAGTTCAAGGATATCCTCAGCTATGTAGCTAGTTCTAGGCTATCCTGGGCTATATAAGACTGCCTGAAGAAACCCCAAATATCAACAACAACAACAACAAAAAACCCATCTACTTGGGCTGGAGGCATAGCTCAGTGGTGTGGGTCTTGCCTGGCAGATGTCTAGGTTCCCCCGAAGCACCACCCCACTGTGTGTACAAACACATTTACTCTTTGGAGATGCGTCTGAAGCTCCTGTGATCCAGATGTTCCCCACACCAGCATGCTGGCTTTGTTAGCTGATGCATTCAACGCACAAACCTTTTCTGATCTGTTGTTCTCATGTCATATTTATAGTGATTTTAAATATTTTTTAAAAGATTAAAAAAATATTTTCATGGCTTTTAAGTTTCTAAACCTGGCTCTGCTGAAGCCCATGGAATACTTCCTGTGAAAACATAACTGTCCCTCTACTCCCCCATCCCCCAACCTGCTTCCCTAAGATGCATTGTATGGAAAAGTTGGCCTAGCCAGCTTGGGCACACACAAATCTCAGGTGCAGAGACAGAACAGCCCCAACCCCTAGACTACGCAGTATTCATGGGTTTCTTACGCCATTATAGCCACCTCTGGATTTAAAGCCAATGCGGTAAGCCGAGGTCAAATTTCACAGGAATAGTTTTTCCCCAGAGTGTCTAGTCCCCCCCCCCCCTTCCTTCTACAGAAAGGTCCTTGTACACAGAGCAAACCTCGAGTGGCTGGATGACGAGGGGGATCTAAGTCTTCATTTTGTTTGTTTTGAATCTCTATGTAGCCTAGGTTGGCAATCCCCCAGCCCCAGTCTCTGGAGTGATAAAAAATAATAGGGTGTGTGCCACGCCCTATTTTAAATGAGCAGTGAGAAAAATATACAGTGTTATAGAAGGAACCATAACTAAGTGTCCAGTTTCTATTGCTGGTGTCAAGAAAATTGCATCTAACGTCCTGACCAGGGGTGGGGGGTGGGGGTGGGGGGTGGAGAGTGGGAAGATGGGGGGTGGACAGCCTGTGTGTGATGCTCGCTCCCTGCTCTCTGGCAGCCCTCTTTCCATTTTGCTTACACAGCACTGTTTAATCGGGGCTGGGTTTTATAGCGAATTAACATTAGTGCAACCTCTTTGTTCCATAAATTTAAGGCTAATCCTGGTAGAAACATATGTGCCCCCAGCAAGCGCCCCTGTAGCAGGCACTCAGCAAATGTTAATTGAATGAATGAGTAAATGAGCAAATGGCGCCCAGTGGCCTCATTCAGCTGC